CATCATCATCATCATCATCATCATATAGAAACGACTCAACATATTGTTTTGCAGCATCACTTGCAAAAGCTGTTTCTCCCCGCGCAATACTGAGGCCAGATTGTCACCGATTGCATGTACTAGCTGCAGGTCAATTTGGTTTGGATATTTCTCATCCAGCGCCTTCAGAGCCTCAAGTCCATCGGCGAGCCATTCCCGCCTTACTACCGGATGTATACCTTTCTTGACCGATTCGAGGTGATTTTCAAAGGCCTCACACATTCTCTGGTGATACCACGCTAGACTGGCCCGCTCGGGAGGGTCGAATTCTTCGAGAAGACGTTGCATGTAGTAAAGGGCTGCACGATCAATAGCTGCAGCGAGATCCATTTCCACCCCATCGTTTGTGAAATCGCGCTCTGGCATAATTAAATTCAATGATGCATCGGCCTGCCACACGGTCTCACTGAATATTTGGCGATCCTGCGACTCGGTTGGCTCAGCAATGGCTTTCAACAGAAGACCCTCGATTTGCACAACAGCGTCTCCAGATAAGGTATTGTAGACATGCATGTCACCGAGAAGCGATGTTGGAGTCCGGTCTACAACATAGGAGTCCAGGTTTACCATGACTGTTCCTTCTGCTTCGACGACCGACACTTTCGGATTGACAAGCACACGCTGTATTTTCACGGGAAGGAGCGTGTTCGTCACTTGCTCTGTGCTTGGATGCGATCGAGCGACGAAGAGAGACTGAAAAACAACATCTAGTAATGCAGGATGGATCACATAGTCATTATCCAAATCCGACTGCGACCAAGTTGCAATCGACGTGGCATAGTCCAGCGAGCGCTGCACGTTCGATAGGCCCCTGAAGATCCCTTGGTAGTTCAATCCAATCCCGCTAAAGACACTGTAGACCCGATCTACATCGACATTGAGCAGACTCGGTGGTACAGGCTCTCTACGTGGTAGCCCATCGACTGATGATGAGCCAAAATGGACCAGTACTCGACCGTTGCATGTATGGACCATGGACCCCGTTGAAGAGTCTGAGCAAGAAAAGAAAGAAAATTTGGCTTTCAGCACGGTGTCATTGTTTGAATCCATCAACCTAGCGATGAACATTGTTTCAATGCCCTCCTTGTTATCTGGGATAAGAACTGGTCGCCGGATATCGACTTCCTGCACCTCCAAGAGGCGGATAGTTCGTCCTGCTGCCAGTTGCTTGCCAGCCTCGAGTGCTAGGGAGACATATGCTGCTCCGGGAAGCAGTATCTGTCCCAAGACTTCGTGGCCACGGACCCAGGACAGCTCGCTGCATTTAAGAACATTGCGCCAGCGGAGCTCGTGCTCCGCATCATTGAGCATCCGGCGTCCTAGCAGCTCGTGGTAGTGGTCGGTACCCGTCCGGAATTGCTTAGAGACGCGTGATTCACGCCAGTAAATCTTGTCATGATCCCAGCAATATGATGGTAGATCTTTGAGCATACGCGGAGGAGGACGAGTTGCAGGTCCATAGAATGTACTAAGGTAGCCATCGAAATCCACAAAGGAAGGACCCAAATGGGACCAGTGAAAGCCCAAAGCCCCTGAAATTGCTTCCACGTCACTTTCGCTACGTCGCAAGACACCAGTGTAAGCGGGTGCAGAACCAAAGACTGCTTTGATGGTTTGCTCAGCAGGGCCCTTGAGGGCAGGATGAGGGCCAACCTCGATGGCAACATCCCAGGGACCGCCGTGCCAAATGGATGATTCCATCGCCTGAGAGAACATCACTGTTTGGACCATGTTAGCCACCCAGTACGGGCCCTTGAGGGACTTCAGGTCTCCTTTCAGCAGCTGTGTATCACCGCGGACACTCGAGTTCCAGAAGCAACCTTTCCGGGGCCTTCGTACTTCAATATCGCAGGCGAGGAGAGAGCGGAGATAAGGCTCGGTGCAAGGCTGCATGTGGTGGGAATGATATGCCGTATCCACCTTCAGCTGACGAGCAAATATATTCTGGTTATCAAAATACCGTTTGGCTTCCTCCACCGCATCTAGGTCACCAGAAAGCGTCACACTCTGCGGCGCATTGCTGGCAGCCACTCCTAGGCGTCCTACGCCCCAGCCCGGCTGCAAGAGGACCGGAAAATTGGGATGACGACGGGGAATGGTATCCCATCATCTAATCAAGTTACAGTCGAGCCAATAGCCAAAGTGAGGATTCTTTCTGACCCCGGAGATAAAGGTGAATTTTCCGCGGTTGTTACGTCCAGGTGGAGACCTGAAAGCCCTGAGAGGCCAAAACACAACGGCATTCTTCTCGGGACTACAGTAATATTTGCCTTAAGGAAATTGTGAAAAATGGAATCACATAGAAGATCCCAGGATAAGCCGGTTCGCTTTTGGTTCGCATGGACTCTTTTTTTATCTAATCAATTTCATCGTGGCGATCACAGCAGAAACACAACAGCGATTGACAGCATTATGGCGATGGAACTCCCCCCAACACAGCGTGCCCTGAAAGTCCAGAGTGCTGGCGAGGTCGCTCTTATTGAGACCTGTTCACTCCCAAAAAGACAGGACAGCGACGTGCTGATCCGCGTGGCCTATGTGTCCCTTAATCCGGTTGACGGCAAATCCGCCGACATGTCTCCGAGTGCTGGAGCAACTTCAGGCTGCGACTTCTCAGGCAACATCGTCGCAATGGGACCCGCCGTCAACACTCGGCTTAAACTGGGAGATCGCGTATGCGGATGCATTTTCGGTAACAATCCCATCCGGCGTGACAATGGCGCCTTCGCCGAGTATGTAGCCGTCTCTGCGCAGTTGGTGTGGAAGATTCCCGCGAATATGTCATTCCAGACAGCTGCAACGCTGGGCATCGGCCTTGCAACGGCTGGTCTGGCTCTTTACAACGGCCTTCAATTGCCTCTTCCATTGTCTGAGCCAGAAAGGCCAATCATGGTATTGATTTACGGAGGGGGAACCGCAACGGGAACCCTCGCGATTCAGCTGTTACGACTGTAGGTAATCCAATCCCCTCGGTGGAGAAAAGCCGAGACTAACAACCAAAGGTCCGGTTTAACCCCCATCACGACCTGTTCACCGCGTAGCTTCGACCGCGTGAAGAGACTTGGGGCGGTGGCTGCCTTTGACTACCGCTCACCAACCTGTGGTACGAAGATTCGCGAGTACACCCAAGACCACCTAGCCCTAGCAATGGATTGTATCACAGATACTAGATCTATGGAGCTCTGCTACGAGGCGATGGGAAGTGCAGGTGGTCAGTACCTTGCACTGGACCCATTTCCGCTGCGCACGCATACACGCCGCAGCGTTCAGCCGGATTGGATCTGCATGTTTACTCAGTTTGACCAAGCAATCGATTGGGAGCGACCATATAATCTGGATCCCCGGCCACAGGATCGGCGGTTTGCTGAGAGGTGGTATGAAGTGGCGCAGAGGCTATTAGAGACCGGCCAGATTGAATCTCATCCGTACAAGGAGCGAAGAGGTGGACTGGCTGGAGTGGTGGAGGGAATAGACGCGATCCGCAAAGGCGAGATCAATGGACACAAGCTAGTATATGCGCTTTAGAAGAATCTGAGTCACACTTTGTTGCTTTTGCGCAGTTAGGGAGTTGTCTAATCGAGGACTATAGATTATAGCAATCGTAGACGCATAAGGGGAATGTTTTCAACTGAAAGTGAGGAACAGACTGGGAAATCTCCGAAGGTGAGATTTCCCATCCACGGAAAATCTCGCATAGGCCAACGATCACAACGCCCCGTCAGAATAAGCCGAATTGAGCTCCGTAGAACCGACCCACCGACATGAACTTCCGTATCAGAGCGAAAAAGACCGGATGTACAAAAGAGCACTCCGAATGGCCGCGACCAAGCCTTTGCAACCAATTCACTCTATCCATCCACTGAATGACCAATTTCCGAGACGTGAAAATGAGCCTTGACAACCTGGCCGTCGAAAATAACCCGAACAGCGGCGTTGTTATAGTCGGTGGTGGACCTGTTGGGTTGATTCTCGCCCTGACACTGGCACATCACGGGCTGCGCAGTGTTCTGTTTGAGAAAAATGTCACCACTACGCAGTCAGGTTTCCCTACCGGAAATACACCCTCGGAAGAGTCGACTGACACTTCTACCAGGTTTCCGAAAATGGACTTGACGCTAGCACGAACAATGGAGATTCTGCGCACATTGGGTCTGGCTGATGGACTACGTGCCCGAGGTGTGAGTCCTTCTCCTGCAATCTGGATGATTAGCTAACTAGCATCATTTTTCAAAAGGTGTGGCCCCTGAATACCCTTTTACTGTGCGCTTTTCTAGTGGCCTTGGGGCAGAACATCCTCTCTCGGAGTGGAGGCTCCCCAGTGCGGACCAATTCCATCAGCGCATCCTGTCCCAGAATGATGGGACTATGTCTCTTGAGCCCTGGCTGCGGGTGTCGGGAGATGTTTTTGAGACATTCCTGAAGGAACGGTGTGAACAAAGTCCTCTGGTCAATGTACGCTTTGGATGGGCAGTGACACATATCATCGAGGGTGATACCGGAGTAGAAATTCGGGTCCGAAGTCCTCACACGGGTGGCGAGGAAGTAATCCACAGCCAGTACGCAGTTGGATGTGATGGAGCATCGAGTCTGGTCCGTAAAAGTTTGGGAATCAATCTTGACGGTGCCCCCCTGTATCCATCCCCGTAGTATTCATCGCTTTTCCATAGTAATACTGACCTCCATATAGGCACAGCACCGTGGTGTTGATCCATTTCAGGTCCCGGGACCTGGCCGGTCTTCATCGCCAGGGACAATTCTGGCATACCTTCTTTCCCAGTGATCCATCTATCAACGGAGACTCGGTAGGCGGCGCCATCATCTCCCAGAATGAAGTTGATACGTGGACAGTCCATGACTTCCGTGCCCCGGGATCGAAGCCAAGTACCAGCTCCGCCCAGGAAACGATCTATCGCATCCTCGGAGGAATGGGGGATCCATACCCGATTATCATCGACGAAATTATCTTGCAGTCAACCTACACGCCCAGCATCGCAATCGCCAAGCGTTACGCCGGGCCTCTGCACCGCGTCTTCCTGGCAGGTGACGCGTGTCATCAGACCATCCCATCCGGCGGGTATGGCATGAACATGGGCATCGCTGATGCATTTGACTTGGGCTGGAAACTAGCAGGGACGATCCAGGGCTGGGGAGGCCCACAGCTGCTGGCGTCTTATGAACAGGAACGACGTCCAGTTGCCGAGCTCATGCAACACTGGGGCAAAATACATGCAGGGAAACTGATGGGCTTGGCATCTGAAGTGAAACTGGACGCTACCATCATCGATGCGCCAGATGCACGCGGACAGCAACTGCGACAAAAGATCCATGAGTATGTGCAGGGGAATGATGCGCAAAATCAGAGTTTCGGGGTGGAATACGGCCATCAGTATCAATCGGACATTATAGCGAAGAGTTCGTTCAGCCATCCGCCACCCTTTGACTCCCGCTCATATCCCCCAACTACCCATCCGGGCTTTCGTGCTCCTCATGTGTTCCTCACCAACGGCTCCGCGATATTTGACAAATACGGAAAAGATTTGACCCTGGTGGAGTTTGTCGATGGACTGCCAGGATCGTCTTCTAGCGGGTCAACTTTATTCAGGGATGCTGCTGGTGAACATCAAATCCCCCTTCATCTCATGTCCCTTGCCGGAGAGTCTCACGCCCACGAGATCTGGGGGGCGCAGCTGGTGCTGGTACGACCAGATGGCTTTGTGTCGTGGCATGGAAATGAGATTGCTAGCAAAGAGGAAGCTAGGTTGATTTTGTTGCAAGCAACAGGCCATGTTGACCCGTTTTCCAGTGTTGCAGAATCAGGAGTTGCCTCTTGCCTCCAAGGATAGCACATTCCACATAACAGTCTGGTTTGCGAAGGCTGTGCTATAACCCAACTACGATCCCCAAGATGCAGAGCCTGATAGCAATAAAAGCGACAAATTTCCAATCTCAAGTCCCTGCTCCATGTGACTATGTAATGTTCACTGTGCAGACCAGACTGGGGGGTGTTCACTTCTACGAAGTGAGCAAAACGCAAACGCTGAAATGACAGAGAAAATCAGGTATATAGGTACATATGTAGATAATGCTGGTCTCGTTTATCCGTTTTTCCAAACTATATAGAGACCCAAGCGATTGAAGAAAGGTTGAGGCCGAGAAAAGAACAGTTCATCTGGATAGAGAACTATTTCTTCAAGGCAATCTTTTTGAACTCGGCAGTAGTGTTCTTGATGGCTACTTCAACAGGAAGTCGCTCCATCGAGCTAGCTCCATAGAAGCCATGCACACCCTTTACCCTATCCAACACGAATTTCGCATCTTCTGGAGCAGCAATAGGCCCACCATGACACAGCACAATGATGTCCTTGTTGATCTGCACTGCCGCATCCCGAATTGCCTGAATCTCCACAACACTTTGCTCTAACGATTTGGCAGTCTTTGCGCCAATCAGCCCAGAAGTAGTCAGACCCATATGAGCCACGAGGATATCCGCTCCAGCCTTGGTCATGGCCTCAGCTTCCTCGACATTGAAAACATAAGGTGTCGTCAGAAAATCCAACTCAGCCGCCTGTCGCACCATCTCCACCTCTTTACCATACCCCATCCCAGTCTCCTCCAAGTTAGCACGGAAGTTGCCATCGATCAATCCCACCGTGGGGAAGTTCTGCACTCCACTAAATCCCAATTCCCGCAGCTGCTTCAGGAACCGCGGGATGTTCTTAAATGGGTCGGTACCGCAGACACCCGCAATCACGGGGATATTCTGAACGATAGGAATGACTTCGGCAGCCATTTCAACCACCACTTCGTTGGCGTTGCTGTACGGCATCAGTCCCGCGAGACTTCCGCACCCCGCCATGCGGAAGCGACCGCTGTTGTAGATGATGACTAGGTCTGCGCCGCCGGCCTCGACCGATTTTGCGGAAAGACCAATGCCTGAAGGTAGATGATCAATTAAACCGATCGAAGAAAAAAGTACGAGGGACGGGTGACACTAGCTACATACCCGCTCCGGCTCCAACGATGGGTTTCCCGTCTTCGATTTGACGGCGTAGGTTGGCGAGAATCTCGCTGCGAGAGGTAGGGGGCGCCATAGTAAGGAAATTGAGATTTGAAGTTGGATCAGTTACTCATGCAGATCAGAATGGGATATTTATCTTCTCTCGTGCCAGTCCTGATTCATCGTGCGTCTCGCCGAAGGCGGAGCGGACTTACTGCGGATGCGGATGGCGGAGATGTATTCCAATTGCGGAGTTCGCGGGCATAAGGATGGTATGATTATCACTCAATTTTGCAAATTGGAAATTGTCGAGGAAGAAATTCCCCGGGCTACACTTTAAACACGGGATGAACACTCGCGCATTCAACTATCTGCCATCCTACAAACTCAGGTATCTAGGAATGCCTATGCTCAGGCGAGGACCAGTCAAGTTCCATTGAACTGCCAACAAGTAAGAGGTTCTCCACATCTTGTCAGATGTTGATTTAATGCGGCTCCAAACTGCTAGTTCGTGAAGCACGACGGACACCAGTCGGCTCGGATCAAGATGTCGTTCCCATTGAATTCATAATCAGATCCCAGTGGTCCCAGTCCATGTTCACCGGGTTGATCCATTGCTGTGGCTCAATCTGCCGAGCTAGACTGGGGAAACCGGCACCTTCCGGGGGGAATGTATGGCCATTGCTAAGATCAGCGGGCTGGCTGATAGGATTTAGCTGGCCATTTGACTTGGCGCCCTGCGACCCTGCACTTTGTGGTCTATCTGGTACCAATCCCGAGCCAGTCATCCATTTGCTAGACCTGTGAGTTTGACTGTCAGTTCAAACGAAAGCACGCGTCACGCGGTACGTAACTTACAGCATCTGGCCGAGAATAGTCGCTGTCCGGGTGCACAGCTGACTTTGCGCCTTGGATGCCTCGAGCCGAGAATGGCACTCGTGCAGCAACCGCACAAGATTCGATGTACAGGGCTCTTGTGGCTCTATAGAAAGGGCAAGCACCAAGACGAAAGCGGCATGAAAAGCGTGAAAAGCGCCCCGGCCACGGATATACCAGAGGAAGGGTGTGAACTGGGGCAGCTGATGGAAATGGGCATGTAGCTCCAAGACACGTTGTGCACTTTTTATACAGCGATTTTTCGACCAGCTATGCTGCGGTGGACAAAAGGGCCCTTCACTCAGTATGTTACTATGGAGAATGAGAACCAGATGGTGGGCAAAACTAAGCAGCAGATTGGTATGCATAACCGATGAGTTGCTCCCAAGCATCGAGGCATAGCTCCGCTCTAGTGGGTCTAACTCTGCTCGGAGGGCTGCGTCCAGACGTTGGAGGGCAGTCGGGTCGTCTGGCCGTGCGGCCAGAACGGGGTCACAGATCTCCGAGGATATCTGAAAGAGGCGAGATTTTCGGATCAGATATGAGATGGGATTGATGCCTGCCGAGGTTGCAATCGGTCCTGGTTGTCCTTGGATGATGTCCTCATCGCACACCTCGGCTGGGGGCTGGACTCGCGACGAGAACACTGACTGGTAGATGTCCACCCCGGTAATGGCCATATTTTGATTACAGAGCAGTGTGACCAGGCCGAGCCAACAGCGACGACGCTCTTCGGCTTCGACAATATCCAAGGAAAACGTGGCCGGGTCAACGTGACAACCGATCGAGAGCGCAAGGTGATAACCCAGCCCGAGAAGAGTCCATGATTGGCCATGGCTATGGTGGATCCCATAGATGAGGTTTAGCAGTGCTTGCAGAGTAGAGACGTTGTGTCGCCAGAGATAGCGATCTGCTTCGAGGCATTTCATCGCTGCGGTATAATACCGCTCCGAGAGCTCTGTGACTCGATCCCAGTGGGTATGTTTGCGGCTGAGTGTCTTGAGCACAGGGCTGTCATTTTCCAGAGCCAGAACAGCCGTTCCTAAGATAGTAAAGAGGAGAGCAAGCCATGCTAGCGAAGCCTGATCTGGATCCTTGGAAAATCGACGATACCGTTCGTGAAATGTAGGGCCATGTAAGATAGGAAAGAGCTATTTTGGGTTACTTTTTCAGTCATCCTGATGATATCGGGAATTATAAAACCTACGGGCGCAATGGATTGGAAATAAAGATCCTTTAACTGGTTGCAGTACTCCGTCGGGGGAAGTTTTGCTAAGAGATTGTGTCTGTTTTCAGTATCATGTTCGCCGAAAGGATATGGTCCGCTGGGGGTGTCAATCATGGCACTCTCCTGGCTTGTAAAAGGACCTTCCTGAGAGACTCGATGGAAAATACGCCGACCGGAGGTAACGGGGAGGAAGCGCACATGTCCCGAAGCGGATGGTATGAGGGTACCCGTTGCAGATGCTGTCGCTGGCTCTGATCTCCGCCTCCCTTCTATCTCTGAATCCAATTGAGAAACATTTAGTGAAGGTGACGCTGTTTCTTGCTGCTGGTTCTTCGCGTACAACAACTGCTCCAGCTTTTCTATTCGAGCGACCAGATCAGCATTAGATTCTCCAGCGACACCGTGATATCGTGGTTGGGGAGAAATGTTAGGGGACGATGAGCGATTTTCTAGCGACCGAGCCTGTTGCTGTAACTGCGACGGCTGTCTTTGTGAAGGTGTCTGGGGTCGTCTCCCCGTGCTATAGATACACTGCTCTAGAGGAACACGACGTCGTATGCAAGTGCCACAAGCGGGGCCATCCCGAGGACATCGGATCTTGCGAATGCGGCACGGCTCACAGGAGATTGGAAGACGCTGACGTGGGTGGTGAGCGGACATTACAATGTCCGCGCTAATAGAAAGCCAAGGGTGTACAATGGGATGCTTAGGAGTTCGGCTGAACAAGGTTGCGTCAAAAGCGGAGATACTCGGAGAAGGCGGGGATATTTTCCGAAACATTTTTCGGCTACCATGTCATCCAATGATGAAAGTGCAAGGCCCCTCTGGCGCACGAATACGTTGTATGTATTAAAATCCTGTACCAAGTAGAATCATTCCGTAGGTAATCTATAGTCTTCCATCAGCTTACCCTGAGCCTCAACATGCCACATATCATCCTTCTGGGGACCCTCGATACCAAGCTTGCGGAGACCCTAATTCTTTACAACCAGCTGCAGCAAAATGCCTCTCGCTTCTCGACCCCTCTAGAGATCACCTTGATTGACTGTGGCCGTCAAGCCATTACGGACGATGCAATCACCATAAGTCACACGGATCTACTATCGAAGTATGCGTCCGCCGACAGCACCGGGATATTGACTCAGTCACGGGGACAAGTGATTGAATTCCTCATCAGCTGCGTCAGTAAGTGTGTCACAGAAATACTGCGCACGACGGAAATCCACGGAATCATCGGTGCGGGCGGGAGTGGAGGAACCAGTCTGATGACCGCCGTAATGAGAACGGCTGCACCTCTTGGCCTGCCCAAACTTGTCGTGAGCACGGTTGCGTCCGGGAACACAGGGCCGCTGATAGGCGAATGCGATGTCACCTTGATGTACTCGGTTGTTGACATAGCGGGCAATAATCGGCTTCTCCGTGAGGTGCTTGGGAACGCTGCCGGCGCAATGTTCGGCATGGCATCGACATATCAACATAGGCTCGGTGAGCTCCGGACCCGGAGTGCGCAAGGTAACCAGCGAGAAGAGAAGAAGACTCGAGTGGGTATTACCATGTTCGGCGTGACCACCCCCTGTGTGGATCGTGTGAGGCTTCACCTAGAAAACAACTACTCTGTAGAGGTTTACGTGTTTCATGCGACTGGTCACGGGGGGAAGGCTATGGAAAGATTGGTAGAAGAAGGTCATCTAGACGCCATCTTGGACATCACAACGACCGAGATCTGCGATCTCATTGCTGGTGGGAACATGAGCTGCGAAAACAGCCGATTGGAGAGGACACTCGAGCGCGGAATTCCCAATATCATTTCCGTTGGAGCTACAGACATGGTCAACTTCGGTCCGATCGGCACGGTGCCAGACCAATACCGTGACCGCAAGCTACTAGTCCATAATCCGAGTGTGACCCTGATGCGAACCTCTGCAGCCGAATGTCGAGAAGTTGGAGCTTTCATTCTCGACAAGCTAACCCGGTTTACCCAGGACCAAGATATGGTTGAGGTGTGGCTTCCCCGGGGAGGAGTGAGTAGCGTTGGGACAATAGGGTCTGCATTTGCAGATGCCGACGCCGATGCCGCTCTTGCCGATACTCTACGCTCCGGGCTCAAGGATAGCAGAATTAGAGTGGTATCGGATGAGCGAGACATAAATGACGATGGATTTACACTTGACATTGCGGAGCGGCTCATGGCTCTCGTGGCAAAGCACTCTTGCCACAGCTAGGCTGGTCTGATGTTAATTATTAGACAAGCAGTGTACATAGTACCTAGTGACTCTCTCATGAATCATTATTCCCTATCGTTTTGCTAGCTGGACACCTTCACCCGCGAAACCTTGAATTGTCAGTGCTGTCAATGTCAGTATAGAACGTGTAGCGTATGCCAGGGTCCAAGGTTATAGGCAATGTGAAGGAGCTTGTCTTCTTTTTCCTTGTCCTTTGCTCATATTCTACTACAAAGTGCAGGCTGGCTCTAGCTAAGATGTGTTTGGCAATGAAAAAGCGCTCCGCTGTGACAACATGACCATTTTCGCCGCCGTAGCCGATTTGGGTTTTTCATTCTCTGCTCCTGACAGTCTAGCCCGTGCAGGTTGCTGCTGTACCTTACAGTCTGTTGGGTGCAAGTTTGAAGCCAGCAGCGAAAGCTGACTGACTGAGAGTAGCTCACTGATGTTTGTACTACCATCATTTGATAGTACTGAACCGCTTATCCCTCCTAGATCCCGTATGAGTTTTTCGATCTTTTCTGCACGTCCACTTGCATGCAAGATTTTGCCAATTGCAGCGTGCAACTGTACGTACTGGGGTTCAGGAAGATCGTAGTGATGGTCATGGCTTGTCAACATTACAACCCTGTCATGGGGTAACGCGGATGTGAAAACCGATGAGAAGCTTGGGAATAGCTTAAGACGGTAACGATTAGGGATCGAAGTGTTCTCAAGAACGAAGTGGAAGAGGCCAAACTCTTCATGAAGGGAATTGATCATCATCATCATCATCATATTGTTCCCTCGATTCACGTCTTCTGGTGACACCTTCAGGATGGTTTTGAGACTTAGAAAGTAACTAAAAATACTAGTCCAAACCGCAGAAGTAGCCAGTCGTTCGCCTTCATTCGAAAGATTGCCAAGGGAAAACGGAAGAATATGAACAGCTTGTTAAATGCCGGTAGTTCCGTCAGGTGGGTGTTCATGACTAGAGCTCCAGACCTTCGTAAACAGCACACCGATATCCATCACGTTTTAGACAGTTCTTTCGAATACGTCCTTGGTCGTCCTTGGTCGTTTTGACTCACTGGTGGGAAATCGAGGGAGTGGATGTTTTCAACCGAATCGTCAAAGCCGACACGGGGGGACGGAGTTGTGACAGGCGTCTTCCCACTCTTAGATAGAAGAGGGCGTAGCAGACCAGTATCAATACAAGCAGCTAGCTGGCGAATTGCATCATCGTTACGGCAGCTGCAAACATCCTCTGAAAATTGGACCTGTCCAGCCGAGGGGAGGTGTTTGAAGCAAATATCAAGGAATTTCTACGTATCGTCACCGGGGTTCGGCTCCTAGTAACTTGCGAGGGTCGCTTCTAGGGATGTTTTCGCCTCGGCAAAAGTAGAGAAGTAAGAAGACGAAACGGAAGGGCTGAGACTCTCTTGCGACTGCGACATTGTGGGTAGGGGGAAAGGACTTGTCGTGTCATAGCGGATAGTGGGGTGATATCTGACAGACGAAATCGGTCCCACACCCCCGTGGGACATTTGTTCCTGTAGAAATTTTCCGGATACCTTCCGAGAGGTCCTGATGCTACAGAGAGACACACCAATCCCTCGGATACGATGAAATTATATGAAAGTTGATGAATGATCTGATAGAATATATGAATTGCACCGAGGATGATTATTTCTAAAACTACAACAAAGTCGGGTGGAGTCAGATCCCCATTCCCGGGATGGAGGCGGTGAATCGCAAAAGCGGTCTCCATACGCCCCATCCAATCTGTCCGGCAGAAAAAAAATTAGCTCTCTTGTCCCTCCTATTCCCCTTTTTCCTCCCTCAATTGCTGACCTCATCTATCCCCTTTTGGGTAAAGTCTGTAGAGCTGCCCAGAACCTCAGCCCTGAGAGGAATTCTGGGATTTCTCTTTGTTTTGAATTTTTCATTCTCTTCTATTGCACACTATACATAGTAAACTGCTAACTTGTTTCAGTCTTATTTTATATCTGAATATAAGATTTTACTTGCCTTGTTATATATCCCGGGAATGTTCCACTCTGGCTTTGCCACCCGCGTCACCTTCCCAATATTAGCTGCATTTCCCTTCAGTGCTGTCGACCATGCCAATGTCGGTCCTCCCGTGATCAACAGCGACAATTACATCAAATGGAAAACTGCGATCCTGCATGCTGCGAGACTTTACCCTGTGATCCAGAACCCTGTTTGCGTTGGCCTGGCTCCATTGGTTGATGAACTGCTGAAGATTAATCATCCACTTTAGTACAGTCGCTCTGTACTGGCGACATTCAACCTCTATCGCGATCCCAAAGTTGAGGCTGTCACAATGAATCCGCCCATGATCCCGACACCTGGCACAGCGGCCTCCCGACTACCTCGTTCCTCGCATTACCCACCCTCTGCTGATAACACTAGCTACGGCCCAATGAGCGGCGGTCGGGCCCCAGGGACTGGTCCGGTACCCGTCGCCGAGGCTACGCCAGCCATCACGACCCGCTTAGAATCCCCCGCTGATGATGCTGCTGGCAAACCCTCCAAGTCCTCCAAACGCAAAAAGAACCGCAATCGCAAGCGTCGCAATCGACACCAGTCTTTCATTCCACCTAGTGGGGAGGAATCTCAAGATAGTCCCAAGGAGACTTCGGATGCTGGAGGTGTCAGAGATTCCATGGATGCCGATCGGCCAACCTCGAAGGACAAGTCGTTCTTCAAATTGGGGCGCAATCTGAGTAACACAAGCTTGGAGAGCGATGCGCTATTAGATCATCGGTAAGATGTCGTGATATTGATCCTTGTCGGAGCTTGAGATGGATGCTGATTTTTCTTGCCGAGCAGGGACCAACCTCTAATGCGACCTCGTCGTGACAGTCGCCTTCTATCGTCATTCTGCCCGAGTTCACTAACATCTAATGTCTTCCGCTCGAACGATGGGCAATCTCGCAGCACCCCGAGGGGAGGACGGGGCCAACAATATCACGATGGTCATAGTGATGAAGAGGATGCCAATGATCGGACACCATTGATGCGGCCAGATTCAGGCCACACGCCAGGCCATAATCGGTATGGTACAGACAATCACCCGGGTTACTTCTCATCGCGTGCTCGACAGTCCTCCACTCAAACTGTGTCCTCGGGATGTTCGCCAAAGGACGATCGCAGCCCACTTTATTCTCCCACTGCAGAGCGAGACTACGATGTTAACAACCCGCCATCGATTCCCGGGTCTCCAAAGCTGGGACCGGAGATGAATTATGACGATGCTGTGGTAACGGGAGCAGATTGGGACTTCTCAATGGCCCGGTCATTGGAGAATCGCAAGGACTCTTTGAATGCCCTCAACGACACGCTGATCGACATAGACGGAAATCAATTGCACCCGCATTCAGCACCATCCTCTTCACCTGGATCGCCGCTGCTCTCTCCACACCAAGAATTGCGGCGACGCCGGACCGTGGCAGTACCAGCACAGGAAGACGTATGCTTCCCAACCGAGACGATATCTGAACTGGGAGACGAGGGACCAAGGCAAATGCGAGATGAAACCGGTGAGCGTCGACGGCGTAGACATCGGCGATGGCCCGATCTCTCCGCGCTGGAAGAATGGAGCCGTGAGGAGAAAGGGGAGCGCAATGGAGACATTCGAGTCAAAAGGATCAGTGAACCTATGCTCATCGAAGGCCGGCTGCGCCCTCAGTATACAGGTTGGCGACGTGAAGAGGATGAGGCGCCATATCGGTTCACATATTTCAACGAGGAATTCCCGAGCACTGTCCATGCTCAAACCATCTCCGAGCTGGTACAACCGGGTGGTAGCTTCCGCGATTTGTTTATTCCAACCCCTCCCGAATTGGAGGATTCCTCAGAAGGTGAGGACGAGGAAGAGGAATCCTTCGTTGAAAACACAGCTTTCAATAACCTAGCCCATCCCGCCAGCAAGCCAACACTTCAAACGGACAACCAAAGTCAAGGGCAAGGCCATCAAGCGAGCGTCAATCCTCACATGACGCCTCAAACTGTTGTTCCCAATGGAAGGTCTACAAGTGACCTTATCGCTGGCATTGCTCCTCCTATCAGAGGACTCTCGCGCTTATCTGCCATTAGCGAAGTTCGCCCAGATTCCCACCGAGAGCCCTCGCCCGCACCTTCAAACACCCCGTTTAGTAGCACCCCTAACCCAAAACCTAAACGGTACGGTCCGCGGCCGACTTTCTGGCTAGATGTTCTCTCTCCAACAGATGCAGAGATGCGTACGATTGCCAAAGCGTTCGGGATTCACGCGTTGACCGCAGAGGACATTATGATGCAGGAAGCTCGAGAGAAAGTCGAGTTGTTCCGCAGCTACTACTTTGTCAACTACCGCACTTTTGAGCAGGATACCAACAGCGAGGACTATCTTGAGCCAGTGAACATGTATGTGGTAGTTTTCCGCGAAGGTGTGATATCCTTCCATTTCTCGCAAACACCTCACCCGGCCAATGTGCGGCGGCGTATCCGCCAACTGATGGATTACCTGATCCTCAGCTCGGACTGGATTTCATACGCACTGATTGATGACATTACCGACGTCTTCGGCCCGCTGATCCAAGCGATTGAAGATGAGGTCGATGAAATCGACGAAATGATCATGCAGATGCACTCCTCCAGCAAGGAGGTTTCGTCCAATGACAGCGTGCTCCCTTCGTTCGCACCAGGAGAGATGCTCCGGCGAGTGGGAGAATGCCGCAAAAAGGTCATGGGACTGTATCGACTTCTCAGCAACAAGGCCGATGTAGTCAAGGGCTTTGCCAAGCGTTGCAATGAGCAGTGGGAGGTTGCACCCAAGTCAGAGATTGGTCTGTATTTAGGTGACATTCAGGATCACATTATGACGATGACGGGTAACTTAACGCACTACGAAACGTAAGGTTTTTGCCTATGTTCAAGATGGTTCCTGTGAAATGTTGTGGAAATCGCTGACTGCTTCCTCCAGAATCCTTTCCCGCGCACACTCCAACTATCTCGCGCAGATCAATATCCTCATGAACGAGCGTCAGGAACATACTGCCGATGTACTGGGTAAGCTGACTGTTCTTGGTACCATTGTTCTACCGATGAACATCATCTGCGGCATGTGGGGGATGAATGTCAAGGTACCGGGTCAGGAAATCGATAGCCTGACGTGGTTCTGGTGCAGTATGTACTCCCATTTTGCTTCCCGGGTTCTTTACTGACACATCATAGTCACCGCCGGAATATGCGTGTTTGCGTTTGTATCTGTTTGGACCGCTAAAAGAATTTACAAAATTGTATAGAAGCTCGATGTGGAAGCTCGATGTATTCCCATGTTTGTTTCTACTTTCAGTCGATTGGATCGATACCCCGGATTTCGGTTTGGTCGTTTACTTGTTCGTTTGAGGACTTTGAGGCTAGTTGTTTTGACGTCTGGTTCTAGCTCTGGATGCCCGGCGTGTCGGTCCTTGGATTTGACGATATACGAAGCATGTGTTGCTCTCTGCTTCATCTGGGAGGTTATTTAGGCATGCACATCGGTAGTAGGTTGGATAGAAGTGTATGTCAAGGAAAACCTGTTTTCCCTAGGCTCTTTTCTATAGTAGTCTTATGATCTAGTAATCTACACCTGTACAACATAATCAGTAATCCTTGATTTTGTCCTTGACTGCTTCGGTGATTTTCAAGGGGCGTTTAGGATTCATTGTCCTTTTGATCGAACTAAAGACAGCAAAAATGTTGAATTCCTCGTAAAGTGACCCGTAACACAGATAATCTGGACAATCTGAAAGATAACCGACAATTCGAGGTTAAGTAAAACCCAAAAACAATTGACCATCTCTACTGCTGTATGGAGTCGTAGTTGTATAGTGAATGTATGCCAAGGGGTGAGGCTGTGGCAAGATGAAGTCAATGTAATTTCCTTACATGAGTAATTAATTACTTCCTGCACGCTGCACGTTTTATTACCTTTAATTACCACTTTAGGCGTCACCCGCTGGTCATCAACCCCAACTCCAAGTGACTTAATCTTTTTGTTTCTCTTCAGTTCGTCCTCTGCTCTTTCTATTTCACTCGCTCTCTCTTCTTCTCTTAAATCACATTCGCTTTCTTTCCGAGATTTTCCACTGGATTCTAGACCATCCGTGTGCTTCCATGCAGTGACCCCCTCCCTTCTTGACGTGGACCACGATCATTGGCCTCTGCCACAAACCTGACCCTCTCTCTGTCAGCCACTTTTCGCCGAGGTTTTGGTCACCGACTTCTCCAGCACATTTGACACAGTTGGCAGCACAGACGCCACTCCAGAACAACGAAAACCAGGCAAGCCAAAACGTTGAGCCGGATCGGCGGGTCTCCATTTGCCTTGAATCCGCCAACCAATTCTTGTTGTCTTGAATTCCTTCGTTCTAGACCTTGCTTTTTGTCTTTCCCGTCAACAAAGCAGAACGGCACAAGTGATGTGTGGGCTCTTTGCGCTACACTGACCCTAGCCCACTTGGTGTTCTAAACAATCTCCATCTCTCTCCAGTTGTCCCAACCCCTGCACCTGCTGCAGCAATTTTTCGCTTGTGTATTTCTGTACAGAATCCGATTTCCGACAACAGCATGTGGTCATCGGCTATTCGTTTTGCTGTACCCTCACATGTGTAACGACTCGTGTTCTGCGCAACTTCCCATTTCATCCTCGTGATATCTCATTCGCTCTTGCCAACAACACCTCACTTCTTCACCGTCAAGCTTTCCCTGCCTAGGCGCCGTGCCTTGCTTTTTCTGCTTACCCTTTTGGGCCCTGTGTCTACCCAACTACCTGGCTACCTCTCGGGTCTCCTGACTTGTCTGCATCGTGTCAGTCCATTCTGAATCGACACAGACCATGGCTGCGGAGTCCGAGAGGCCGCCTCACCTTAATGGCACCTCTGGTCGATCCAGAGGCCCGAAGGATACAGAGGCGGCGTCAGACCCTGTGTATCGATCTGTCAGCGAAAGTGGCATGATAGAACGGTCCATCGTTACGTCCCAGACTCAACCCATGTCTCAGGTCCCTAAGCTTTTTCCCAATCCCCCTACCGCTTCCGCTACGGCGTCGTCTACTGCGAACTCGGCTGTCTCCTCCCGCGAATCCTCGCCAGTCCGACACTCCGCACGTGCCTACAATCCTTCTTCGCCCAGCCGGGCATCTTCACACTCACGAAAGACCAGTCAAGACCAATCCAGTCCCACCCAGCATTCTAGCGGTTTGATATCTGGCCCACCCACAAACTCGCCAGCACCGAATGCTCAACGTTCCTCGTCCTCTCCTGTCAGATCCCTTGTTCTCTCCACTCCAGTCGACTCGCTGGCCAATGTTCCCGGTCCGGAAAAGTCTAATATGCCATCACGGGCCGCGAACCGTCGCACAGACCTGGATTCTGCCCTTCCGAATACTTCACACAAAAGATCTTCATTACCGTTGGAGGATTTAGCATCCAAGACGGACCGGAACACAACCTGGACTGTCGCTAGAGGCGTCAGTGGACAAGGGTCCTCCCTAGAAACAGTTGAAGAGATGGCAAGCAATCCCTCTACCCCGTCCAGTGACACTCCTACCAAGCCGGTAATCCCAGAGGAGTCACGATTGCACCGAATCGATGAAGACCCGACTCCACGTGCTTCGCCTCAAACTTTAGGCAGTGGCAGTGATAGTGGTGAGAATCGAAATTCAGAAGCCAAAGAGGAGCCTCGTCCACAGGCGTCTGGTGCAGCCAAACCGCCCAAAACTCTCATGTCACAGCGATCGACAACATCACTCAGTGCTGGTGCTCGTGGAAAGCCTGCCGACGGCTCAGTTCGCAATATGATTGTAGAAACAGAGACTGTCAGTTCAATACCGCAAGTTTCCATGGGAGTGGGAAATGGTGAACGAGGCAGCGCTTCCCGTGCAGACCAGAGTACACTTCGCATGAAACCCTCCAATGAGACGATTCGTCCACGCAAAGAAAAGAAAAAGACCCGTCGCCCCAATACCCTTCTTACAGCAGGCTCCGTAACAAGCAAGGCGGATATCTTTGAGGCTAGAGTGGCCAATGCAGTAGATGAGGCTGATGTTTCGGACTCCGACGAGACTTTCGTTTACGACTCGAACCCGCCTGATCCATACCCATCCCGCCCGCCCCGGTATCATTCTCGGACACCTAGTGCGACCTCTATGGCGAGTCAAGCGGACCAAATGTCTAGTCGTACTCGAGGGTTGCGGGATTCTTCTCACCGCGTGATAGGCAAACGCAGCATGAAGTTTACCAACGCCAACCCCTACAACAACAACAACAGCATAGATGGCGATGGTGCTGAGGCTGAAATGTCCACGCGTTGCTCTAGAACTGATGGAAGTGGAACCATCACTCCCCGGCATCACAATTTGGGCCGTCTTCATGGACGCAACTGCGTGCACCCAAATCTTTTTGATAACGACAGCGCAAACTCACTGAGTCAATCTCAAAAGTCTCCCCGCCATTTCATCGGGAATAGCTACAGGCATTCTCGTCACAGCAATACCCGGCTTTCTCCCAATTACAGAGCTATCAGCGGTTCCAAGCAGAGTAGCGAGTTTCATGCTTATGATTACGACGCAGAGGGTGCGGACGATGAACGCACACCACTGGTAGGCACACCCCGTATAATCCACAGTCGGAATGGACGACGGCCCAACAGTGCAATTTTGCGGCAGATGGAGTACATGGCGCAGCGTGAACGCGGGTTTTTCGCTCGATTTGGCTCATGCGCTATTATCTTCCTTATGTTATTGGTTGTCGCTGGCGGTGCTACTTCCTTCATCATTGCGGCAACCCAACCTCTTCTAGATGTCCAAGTTGTTGCGATTCAAAACGTGTTGGCTTCAGAACAGGAAATAATGTTGGATTTGAACGTGCAAGCCGTCAACCCGAACTTGTTCCCTGTGACCATTGACGACACTGATGTCAACATATTTGCGAAGAGTCGCTTTGTTGGGACCGACAAGCTTTGGCGCGAGCATGGTGGTCTGGATAATGTCCCCCGCGTGGAGCAAAGCCGACGTCGCTGGCAGTTGTCACGGGCTGTGAGGTGCCTCGGCAATTTGAACTGTATCAACGAAGCCACGCTTAACCACTCTGACCCGCACACCACCGACGGAGTTGACAAGGGCACTGATCCCCCAACCGACCCAGAAGGCGACCCGCGATCTATGTTGCTTGGCCGTGTGTTCCACTTCGATTCCCCACTGTCTTTCGAATCTTCTCCTTGGAATCATTTGACTTCCAGCTCTAAGGGACAGATTCGTCTAGCCCGGCCAGGAAACAAAACTGAGGCAGGAGGCACAGAGCGCTGGGAGCGAGTCCTTCAACACCCCTTCGAGTTGACTGTCCGCGGCATCATCAAATACCAGCTCCCACTCAGCTCCCGCTACCTCTCGGCATCTGTTAGCTCCAGCATCAAGGTAGTGCCTGATGCCGATGACAACGATCTAGAACAAACACCTCCGAGCAACGGCACAGTGCGGATTTCGATACCACAGAGAAGCGCACCTTCCATTCGTCTTTCACTTGATACTCGTCTCACTGAGTCGGAGAATTCGAGACGACCTTTTACGGCATGACAAATTTAGCGATAGATCGATATCATTGACTTACGACAGCCCTCTCTTCTTAATTACTTTTACTTTCTTACTTTTTCATGTAACGCGACGAAAAGCAAAGAACCTATTGCCTGTGGCCGCCCACTCTGCATCCATCATACCGACACGCAGTATGGGCCCCTACCTTCCCTTGAAACTTCTTTCCGCAGTATACCCCATTTGCAATTTTCGTCTTTTTGTGCTCGCAAGTGTTGGACAAGTTCTATCACGGATCAACTCCGTATAGTTTCTGTCATCCCTTCCAAAATGTCCTCTCGGATATGGCTTTTTCTTCCACTGACCACTTCCTTCTTTGAAGAGAATGCGATATGTACGACTTGCGCGCCCTCCATCCATTCCTTACACGGCAGCCATCCGCATTATTTTACCAGGTTTGATTCGAGGTTCTTTACTTGTCTTTTCTTGGTGCGAAGCATTCGCAAGCTGTATCTGTACTATTTGTCTGATTTCTGGCTGATCTCGGAATCGCCTTTTGTTGTCTTTTTTTGTACGGCAGGACTTTGGGGAAAGGAATTTTTCGATATTCTTCGTTACAGTCTTCGAATACGAGACGGGTTGGGCTTTTCAAATATTGTTTTCACTACTAGATGGGATTTTGTCTATCTTTTTGTCTTTTGGGTCCCCTTGTAAACTTGGATCTAGAAATTTTTCGGGAGTCTTAGAAGACCTAGTATTGGTTATAGAACAGATACATTCCTCTCATATAATTCAGCTAGTCTTGTAAATTTGCACATGATATCTACTCCTTATTCTTACAACTTCCCTTAGATTTTACTATATCATCCAAAAAGCTACCAAAATGATATCGAAGCCTATTTCATCTTTAAAAGAATTTGCAAGCATAGCATTATCGAACACACATACATGTTATAAAGTCATTATCAATCGCAACTTTGTAAGCAAGATTGACCAGTACAACAAACACACCAAGGATGGAACACCAAGGAGAATAAGATAGAAAACCAAGGAAATCGGGTAGATGTAAGAAATACGTTGGCTCAAGCCAGAAAAAAAACCCCAAACCAGAAGAGATGGGCAAAAATTCAAGGGCAGATACAAGAGTAAGCGGGATAGAATGAAAAACCGTACAGCAACCCGCTAGAATAAAATCTTGGCAAACCTGTTCACCAGATCCCCAATTTTATCCACGGCAGGGTCCCTGTCAAGAAGAAGATGGCCATGCCCGTCAAAGCGGTTGGGTAGGTCGATAGTTGAGTCAGACTCTGCCTCGGGGACTTTGTTCTGGTCTCTTCCCTCGCGGGGTTTCGGGGCTGATGGGTGACGTCGATGGTGATTGGAAGCATGGCGGGAATCCTGGTGATTTGAGGAAACAGAGCTAGGATAAGGCATAGGCGGGTAGGGGACGGAAGAGGAACGGCAGCGATGATGATGATGATGATGACGATGATGATGGCTATCACGATCTCGATCGTGACGGCGGTGTCTACTTCCGTGATGTGAAGATGAGGACGTTTCAACAGTAGAATCACTATCATCGGTCTCATAACCAGGATCTCGCGGGGAATTTGTCAAGTCGAAAGCGACGGATTTCGAGACTTGTGGCGGTTGGCTAGTTGACCGGGGTGGAGACGGTGGAAATGGGTGGATGTTTAGACCTGTCGATTGGATATTAGGTTTTATTGCATTCTAAATAGCCACAGTTGTGGTTCATTGAACCCACCCTTGTGCGCGTAGTTTACATCAGTAGGGAGGGTGGAGCTGCTCACATTGTCATCAGCCCTACGCGGCCGAGGTGCGTGCTGCTCGGGTCTTGGTCCTGGTCCTGGTGGCGCAGCGCCATAGGCGTAAGGCTGGGGAGGCGCAGCGCCGGGTGGAGGGGGGTAGTCTGCTGGATTGTAGGAAACAGGGGTACCGCCGTTCAGGTTATATGTAGAGTCACCTGGGGGCGGGGGGAAATAGTTGCTGTTGGGGTAGTAGTGGGTGTCGGCCATGGGTGGGGCACCCGGGGCTGTCTGCGGGGAAAGCGGGTATGGTTCCGGGTCATAGGATTCTTCATACGGATCACGGTGGACGTTGTCGTCATGCTCTGATTAGACCACTAGTCAGGGTAAATATATCTAGATGAAAGCTAGGGAAAGTGGAGACTTACTGGAGTGCTCGCGTTCGCGCTCTTTGGACTTGCGACGCTCGTTATATTTGTGTGCTGCATAGCCGAGCCCTGTTGCGCCCAGGGCGGCGCCCGCAAGGTCTCGTGAGCGGCTGCGGTGCTTCTTGCTTCGTCGGCGACCTTCACGGTCAGAACTGGATGACCTGCTGTAGCGGGCTCGGCTGCGGCTGCGGCTGCGTGTATGACGTCTGGAACTGTAGGCTTCCTGCGCATCGTAGGAGGGTGCGCCGGGTCGACCGTAGTAGTGCTCAGATGGGATGCTACCTGCGACTGGGTCGTTGCCGTATTCGATCAGGCCGGCCGAGTCGCGAGTTGGATTGGAATAAGACTGTGATGGGGCGCGGCTGCGAGACCTTGAGCGATGACGGCCCCGGCTCGAGCCCTCCTTTTCCTCTTTGTCACTCTTTTTCTTCTCATAGAGACCGGTGGCAGCAGCAGTGGCAAGACCGGCACTCACAATGGGAAGAGCTTGTCTCAGACGACTGTGGGAGCGGGAGCGCTCACCCTTTCGAGGGCGCGAGTGGCTGCGGGCCTTTTCAACCAGGCCAGCCACAGCCGCACCGGCTAATCCAGCACCAGCCATGTGCTTGTGACGCTCAGACATGCTGCGTTCACCATGATCTCCATCCTTCTCCGAGCGGCCCCGGCTAAATGCGCGAGAACGGGAGCGAGTGCGAGTGCGAGAGCGAGACCGGTCTTTGCGCTCTTCGGCTTTCGACTTGCTATGCAATGCAGCCACACCGGCAGCCACGGCGGCAGCGCCAACTCCTAGCTCGATTAGAGTCTTTACACGGGAGTGCGAGTGGGAGCGGCTGCGGCTGCGACTGTGACGACTCCGGCCATGTCTGCTGTGGCGATGGGAAGAACGATCATCTTCAAAGGAATGAGAACGGTGGCGGCTCTTACTCCGGCGGTAGTAGTCACGAGCATGCGATGCAGCATTTACAGCGACTGCACCAAGAGCTCCGGCACCGATAGTCTTACCGATACGGCTGGCGCCATGGCTGACTTCGCCATCTTTTTTGCTGTGGCTGCGGAGCAATTCAGCCGCACCAGCACCTACCAACGCACCCTCTGCCATATGACGACGGTGGTGAGAATGATCGTCATAGTCGCGGGTTTCCTTTCGGATGTAGACCATGCTGTCATCGCTGCTGTAATCCTGATCACGATCACTGCGGCGGCGGCGACTAGTCTGGGAAACGGAATCATCAGGACTCAGCTCACGCCGGGAGCGATGTTCATCGTACTCGCGGACTCGGTGGTGACGGTGGTAGTAATACGGGTCCTCGTCGACCTCGGAGCGGCGCACGACATCATACTCGGATTCACGAGGACTGGTATAAGAAGTGCGAGCTTCACGAATAAGCACGGATTTTTTTCGGGTGGCAATAGCAGTAGCAGTAGGGGACTGCTCTATTCGTTCCAGGGAATCCGTGGACCGGGAGTGTGGATGATTGGTGTAGGGATGTAGGTACTCACGATCGTAATAATCTCTCTCGTAACGTGTGGGTGGCTCATACTCAACCTCTCGCTCGTAGCGCGAGACGGTCACCGGTTCTTCACGGTCCGATTTGCGCCGAATTACCAACTCGCGCTCGCTGTCAAAAGAGTCATCGTGTCTCGACATGAAGTCTCGACGATCGTCTTCGGGAGAAATGACGTAACGCTTGATTGACACAGGACGGATCTCGTCCCAGTCTCGTTCGCGCTCTCTGTATGTGTACGACATAGGGTGTAAGATAGTAAGAGATGAGAAAAGATTGATGAATGAGTCGAGAAGAAGAAATTAAAGGGCAAGAAAAAAACGGAAGGTGCACACAATGCAAGAAACTGAGGAAGGCGGCAGGGAAGTGGGGGTGCAGAGAGGGCGCATTAACTAATAGTCGAAGATTATTCCAGTAGAAGGCTCCCGGGCTGATTTTGATGGGGAAGGATTCTCTCGGCCAAACAAATGAAAGCCAAGAAAAGCCGGCGAAAGCCCAGTGGGGTTTGAATGATGATTCAGGATGATGAATGCCGTCTATGGGTGTTCTGTAGGGCAGAGAGCGGAGTGTCGGCACACGCCCAACCGACTCAGCCGCAGATTAGATGATCGGCAGGCAGCACCGTATCGGACTCGAAAGAATCGGAATGGAGAAATGAGAGAGTTGAAAGATGGCAAATTAGCGAACGATGAGGAAGCAAAGATGAGAGATGTGAAATAGAGGATAGAAAAGGAAAAGGAAAAAGAAGAGGCAGAGAGGCAGAGAAGCAGAGAAGCAGAGAAGCAGAGAAGCAGAGAAGCAGAGAAGATAAATGACATCCACGTGAGAGGTTCTTTAACTCAAGGTTGGCACTCTTTGCCCGCTGTGGCGAAACACTCGAACCCCCCAAAACACCGTGGCTTTCAATGCTTGTAGAACTACTCCGTACAGTATTTTGTTTACTCCCGAGGTCTCTACTGTTTGGTTCTTCCCGTTTTCAACCCATGGGTCCCATCGACTGGCTCGGGTGGATTCCATGGTTTCTAGCTTTTATTTACGGTACACACACTGTACAACATAGTACCTAGGTCCATCTCATGCAGAAGCATGTACTTGAATGCAGCCTCACCTGCATTTCAAGTGTCATCTGTTACATTGACAGGTGCATCTAATAAGTCTAGAAGAATCGATTAGCGCTATTTGAAAACAGTCATGAGAACAGTTTCCTGCAGGTTCAGCTGATCAAAAATAAATAGCTTAGCTATCCACATATTTCAATATAGAGTACCCTTGATCTCAAGTATTTGAGATTGCCATTTTAAACAAATTGATATCGTCGCGTAGAGGATTTATTCCACGGGGTGCCCCAGAGTTGACATCATACGAGGATAGACCATGACCCCTGCGGACGTTGTATCACAACCGGGGCAACAAGAGGCGTAGAATTCAAAGCGCCCTGGTCTTTGGTTTCTTTGTGGGAGCCCCGCGGATGACGTCAAGGCCCTGCGGGGCGTTTTCGGCAACTCATTTCTGCACTAAGGCCGAGTCCACTTCGCCCCCGGGCGTAGAACAAAATAGTTGTGAAGATACAATTAAGGAAATATAGCATAGCATAGGGTGGGGGAAATGTCTCAAGCCCCTTTGAGTTGTATGCAGAGGCCAAAAGATACCAGAGACTGAGCAAATCTAACTCCTCGATCCTCCAAGCGCCAAGTTGCATTTTGTTTCTGATAATCAGCCAGTGTCAGCTGGAAATCTTGCCGACAGATCTTGAGTCAAAGAGTACTAATACTTTGAAGGTTCACCCCAGCCTATTTTAACCCGAGGCAGGATATGTTAGATCTATGTTTGAAGACCACGAGGCATGGATGATGACAGGGTCGCTCCATGCAAAAAGACAGTACCAGAATGACGTCTAGTGCTTGATATGAATTTTGTCAGACCCTAAACTCGTACTGCATATGCTGTGTCGGTGGCCATAGCTAAAGTCAGGCTTCGTCATCACGACGTGTTTTCCTCCGATTTCTCTTTTTGGTCCCAGTGCTTCAGATATTGTTGCAGTTATACTATGCAGTAAAATCACAATACACAAATCGAAGATTGTATCAAACGTATTACACACTGTCAATGTCATGGGGTGGGATTGCATATATCCTGGAGGGGCTGTTGATAAGACTTTATACACAATCAACGCAAGACCACAGAACTATTCTAGATCTCCGTTTTTCTAAAGGCCGCCTTGGGTACCGGCAGATTTATAGGTGTATCAGGACGTGCGGTAGTCTGAATAAGATGCTCAAACGAAGGCGAAGATCCAACACGAGGCGTGAAAGGCTCAAAGTCCCAGAGATAACCGAGAGTGCGCAGGATTGAAGAAGCAGAGTAAGACACGACATTACCATCCGAGTTAGTGCCCATCTGCTCGACCTGACCCTTAGCGATCCACGGCGAGATCAAGAGAGCCGGGACGCGACCGCCGAGACGGTCAAAGGAGAATGTATACTTCTCGCCGGAGGGTGCGATCTCAGTGTAAGTCAAATCATCCGGGCGGGTAGCCAGCGGGGGCGGGACATGATCGTGGAAACCGCCTGTCTCATCGAAGGTGAGGATCAAGAGCGTCTCTTCCCACTGCGGGCTAGAGCGGACTGCGTCATAGACATTCTTGATGAGAGCTTCGCCTTCGGAAACGAGGCCGGTAGGGTGCATGGAGTTTGTGCCCACGCCGCAGCAGGACGGGTCGATAAAGGAGAATTCTGGGAGCTTGCCGGCTGCAGCATCAGCGTAGAAGTTATCCAGGGGGACTGCTTTGTCGGAGTTGCCGCTTGTAAAGGTCCAGTCAAAGAAGTAGGCGTCAACCATGCTAGGGCTTGTGTAGTAATTCTTCCAGGTGTGGTTGGTTTCCGACAGCTGCTGGAAGATGGAACGTTGAGTGAGACCGTGGACATCTGGGTTGAAGGCATCATCGTTGGTGCCGTGACCGGCAGATGTACCTGAGAGTACAAAAGCACGGTTGGGGTTGGTGGGCTATTATACATGTTAGAGACTGTACGCGGCTGACGTGGAGGATGGAATTTTGCTTGGACTTACACCGGGGTGATCTGAATGCCAGTGGTTGAAGGTGAGATAGTTCTGCACCAGCGTAGTCATTACTGGCACTTCGTCCTCGATGTAGTAGTTGATGACTTGTTTGGCCAGGTAAGCCTTGTCGGCATCGTCGCCATAGCTGCGCAACTGCTCATGCACAAAGCCACACTGGGTAGGAGTGAGCGTGCCCTCGGCAATATGGACATTGCTTGGGGCAAAAGTGCCGTAAAACTCGATATTGTTTCCAGTCACCGAGTGGTCAGGATCATCCAGAATAGAGTCAAAGTCCTTAGCAGAGCTGCACACCTTGCCAGCTGAAGGATCGGTCAAGTTGTACGGGTTGCAGAAGGGGCCGTTGTTAATAGGATTATCCAGTCCCTTGAGAGTCTGCCCACCGAGCAGGTTATCTACAGAGCGGTTTTCCATTTCCAGGATGACAACATTTTTAATCTTGGTCTTCAGATTAGCGATGGAACCTGAAAAATGAGGGGATTGTTGAGCCTTTGCATCAGCGGTGACCGCCACCGCAAAGGTCAACAGGCTAATGAGGGCACTGAGATTCATTATGAATCAAGGGAATAGTCCGGTCGAAGGTCTGGGTAGAGCACTTTGCTTTTCTGAGAGCTGAATCAAAGCGTGTATTGTCTTCCTTTTATGTTGCACTTAGCCAAACATCCCTGGCATTCTTCAGAAAGATCCAGTTTCAAATGTCCCCTTCCACGTGTCGCTCTGAGAATCACAGCTCAATGGGGTTCGATCTAGAAGGATAAGTATGGAGAGCGGCAGTGATCAGCCTGGGGGGTCATATAATTAACACTCTCACAAGGCGGGGGGGGGATGAGCAACTTCATTATGAAATGCACCCGATTGGCGAGCGTCACATCGTCCCAGATTCCATGTGAAATTGGCTGATTCGAATGGATTGGCAGGCATCTCGATCACGTAAAGAGGTACGGAGTACCAGCAGCACAGAATGTTGTGTTTCATGCCTTTGAGGCAGGCGCATGGGCATTTCCCACCACGCCCAGCATTCGCATAGGCTGTGAAAGTGCCAGTACATGAAGAATGACCCTTTAGAACAGGGTCATGAGTTGCCTGGCCAAGTTTGGTATGTTGGCTTGCAGGCATTTTCATTCGGTCCACGTCGTGCCGTGTGGAATTCCCTGGACCACAACAAGATAACTGCCATAGGGCTTCCCACGCTAGCACTTCTGGGACAAAAAGAGACTTCCACAGCGCTCATGAAGTGTTGATCGTTGCGAAAGGCAACATTTGATGTCTCGTACGTTAAGCAAAGCATCTCGCCTGGAGTTGAGTCTCATGCGCTCCGACGGCCGTGCGGTCAGCGAAGGCGGTGATGGGTCATCAACCTTACAATGACCAACAACCTCAGGTGGTGAGCTGAATTGGGTGATTTCATATAGTCCAATGTAGCACTCGGAGAATATAGAAGTGATACAGACGCAAATTTGTGTCTATGGAGGGGGTACAGTAGACCTATGCTGTTCTTTCCTCCAAGAAACGCTAATCTCCATCGATCACATCGTAGGGTACTTCATGTCAAGCGATATGGGATCGAACTTCAGCAAGCCAATCTAACAAATACAGTTAATCCAGACTACAAGTCTTCCTCTACACTCGGTCATGTCGGCCAGATGCGATTTCAAAATAAAGAGGGATAACATGCTTCCAAAAGAGGAAGGTGGACCAATCCATATCACGTGCTGATGTCTAAGCATGAATCCAGATGATGCCTGCAGATTATTCACACACTCTCACCCACACACGGCCTAGATTGATTGATTTCAATTCATGTTCTGGCGTACTTTTGATCTTCGAAACTCCTCCAAAGCTGACGATTCCAGAAATTTCCAGGAATGTGCAAAACACTCTTGCGTCAGGGTAACTGTCGATGATGCCATCTCCTAGCCCCGCCATGAGAATCAATTAATAATCATCTCTGGATTTCCAATCCAACGTCGACTCGTATTTTGTACCTTATTTAGATCGGTTTAGAGACAAATTCTTGTCTCTAAACAGTCATCTCACAACAAGCCCTTTAATCGAAACCACCAATCACACCAAACTATTATCTAAAATGACGGCAGCAACATTCAGATACATAGACCGAGCTTCATACGACCCCAACGCCACAGAGCCGTTCAAAAAGCCCTGGGGCAAAGTCGACGGACCAGGCCGATCCTACCAGCTCACAGAACTGGAACGCAAAGTCGAGAACCTCCGAGGCCAAGAATCTCAATTTACAACCGACAATTCCGGCTTTGCTTTATACAACTCACCGGCGAAGGAGACCGCATTCACCGACGACGCCAAAGTACGATCGGGGTACTACGCAGAAGTAGAAGAGCTACTCCGCAAGAAGCTCCCGGGGGTGAAGAAAGTTGCCATCTTTGACCACACCATCCGGCGACGGACGCCGGGCTCAGCGCGTAGTCCTGTGCAACTGGTTCATGTGGATCAAACGCCCCGAGCTGCTGAGGCGAGAGTGCGTCGCCACCTGCCCGAGGATGAAGTGGAGGAGTTGTTGAAGGGTCGGTACCAGATTATCAATGTCTGGCGTCCGATTGAGAATCCGGCTTCGGATTTCCCGTTGGCGCTGATTGATTGGAGGAGTATTGCTCCTTCGGATTTTGTCAATGTTGATCTTCTTTATCCGAAGGAGTGGCAGGAGACTGGGGAGGTGGCGCCTGATTCCGAGTCGATGTTCTCTACGGAGGGGTATGAGGTCAAGGGGGAGACTTATGCTATCGCTCCTAATGAGGGGCATCGTTTCTTTTATGCTAAGGATATGACGCCGGAGGAAGTCATGTTCATCAAGTGCTTTGACTCAAGTAGTCACACTATGACTGGGGGGAAGACGGATATTGCTCATGGATCGGGACATACTGCTTTCTTTGATCCGCAGACACCTGCTGGGTCGCCCGGGAGGCAGAGCATTGAAGTTAGATGTCTTGTCTTCTATGAATAAGAAAAAGGGGTTCTCAGATCGCAACGAGCGATGCGTTCAAAACAAATGTCACATCTTCTGCATTGTCTCTACCCTATATGTCCTCTATATCATCTATACAATCACTGTCCATGTCCCAAGGCCATCAATGGGTGGGCCTCGGTCGACAGCCATGTATTTTTCCAATATTGTACAGGGTTGTGGCCAAAGGGTCATTAGACGGCGCCTTTGACAAGGCAATCTACTTACCTTTAGAATGTACGTAAAAGCTCTCTCAAACCTGGGAAAGATACATCAGATCCCCAATTGATCCCGGTCTTGGCAGGATCTTGTCTGCGAAGTTCATGAGTCACGGAACATCCCCATACCACATCTCCAGATTTAAAGACCTCTCTCCAAGATATCAATTTCTATTTAGTAACTCTTCACCTCCCATACAATCTTCGCACATTCATAGTTCGCATTCTACCGAGATACTCTTCCATTTTCTCATTATTACCTCAAGACTGCTCAAAAAAGGCGGCTAAATAGTGAGCCTGAACACCAAAACCCTCCTACTCTCCCCGCAAACATACTTACATCTACTCCGGGATTCAACAATTTCCTCTCCAATCTCAGAGCTACGAAACCAACGCAGAATCTGGACAGAGGGAGAATACCTAGTCTCAACCAACACATCCCTGATCCCCATCAATACCTTTCAACGCCTGGTACGGGGGCGCAGAATTCTACTAGGCAAAGCCAATGCCAGAGCCTGCATTGCGCGCAGCATTACAGAGCTCCCTCTGCTTCGGGCTGTACCACAATTTACGCCAGTCAGACAAAGCTTCAGACTCCACACTCAAATTCGTGGGCCTCGTGCGCTGCGTAACAGACTACACAATATTCCTCTTCTTGACAGACGTCTTTGTCATTTCCTCGCTCCGAGGCCTCGGTCTGGGAACATGGCTTGTGACCTGCGTGTCAGAGGTTATCGAGACGATGCCTTATCTGCGGAGATCATTGCTACTTACTGGGAATCGGAAGCGGTTGGTGCGGTTTTGTGAAACAGTCATGAATATGGAGCTTACGGTGTGTAAACCACCAGTTGATGGAAAGGGTGCGGGAGGCTTTGCTGTTATGCCGCGGAAGTCTTGGGGGACTCCTGGGGTTGGGGAAAAGCGGTAGCCTAGGTATATCAGCCGGGGTTAGAATTGGTTGTTTGAGGGTTAGTGAATCATGAATGGAATGTTCTTGTGGGTAGTAATATACATAGTTGACTTCACAAGAGACGCCTTTTGTTTGCATCCGTTCATTGCTCATATCACTCGTCGCCAAACGTTACAAGAAAATCAATGACAAATCACCCAATCTACCGGTTCCAGTGTAGTCCACGCTGAGCCCCTGCCTCTTCGCTCCGAGCCCTGAAATTCAAATGGTCATCAAGAAATCATCCCGTCATGTCACGTCTCTAATCGAACCCATATCCCCCATTCGCAGGCCCCAGCGAATCCCACGGAACAGATGTAGGACTGATCCAATTTTGCGGATGCATCTGCCCGAAACTGGAATGCATGGTGTGCTCACTGGAGATCGATGCAGTAGTTGGCACCGGCGATCCAGATTGGGATTGCGAATGCGAGATGTTATAGTTGTCTTGCATTGTCATCCCGGGGGAAAGGTTTGACATGGAGGGTGGCATCTGGATGCTTGGTAGGAGGTGATTGTGGGACTGAGAGTGAGATTGAGATTGGATGTTGGCTTGATTTTGCTGGTGTTGGACTTGGGCCTGGGCTTGAAGGTGGGATTGAGAGTGGGTGGGTGATTGGGGGTTGTATTTTGTTAAGGCAACGTCGCTGGTTTGTCTGTCAGTCACTAGTCTGGAGGTCGTAAGATATACAGTGAGGGTGAGGTGGAAATTGGACATACGTCATCTGTCGAATAATGGGAACAGCTTTGCTGCAGAAAACACTACGGACTGAGAGCGAGGCAAACATGTCTAGTGCTCGATCGAGGATCTCTTTGATCTCTTCGTATTCGGACTGGCCCTCGGGAATGAGTAAGATGACGGCTAATGTGACTGCAGCGTGAAAGGCATGGAAACTGCCTAGTCCGCTGGTATACCATTTGTAGGGCTTGAATAATGGTGTTTCGAGGAGGGTTTCGAAGATGGAAAGTGAAGCCTTAGCGGAAGCGACGCACTTTGCCCTTGTAGCACAAGTCTCCGGTGTAATCTCGCCTTGCAGGTAGCGGCAGAGATTAGGGCGGAGGAGCAGTAGAAGAAGTTGATGGATCTGGCTGTAGAGGATGTGATGGTTGGCTTGGTGGTGAATGGGGAGGGGGTTGTTTGTATCGAGAGCATAGCGAGCCTCGACCATTTCACGGACGGAGATGATTTCCGCTTCGAGGTGGGAGGTAGTGAATCGGGATGTACTTGGGTAGCTGAAGATTGTTTCACAAATCTTCGAGGAGATTTTATAGAGTCGGAAATTCAAGAGAAGGTAGGTCATCTGTGTTGGGCGGGGGAACGTTGAAGGTGATGGTCGTTTCAAACTTGGGCTGGTGAGTAGATCAACGTCGTCGATGTCTGCAGGCGTTTTCACGTCTTGCGTTAGAGTCTGCTGGTCGAGGCTCCCAAATGCTGTGTTTTGGATGGTGTATAGCATCATTAGTCCGGCCCAGACCCGTCGCCGCTCTTCTCGCTCAATTGGCCCAAGAGTAAACCGCTCTGGGTCTAAATGGCAACCCATTGATATTGCAACGTGATGTGTAAATCCTAGCAATGTCCAGATTGGTAGACCGCGGTGGACTCGTGCGTAGTTAATGAGAACCAAAGCTTGTAACGAGTTAATCGAATGTCGGGACATCACCCCATCAGCAGCGAGGCACCGCAATGCGGCAGATCGATATCGCGCTGATAGCACTTTGATATTTCGGCTGACCGTTCGCTCTCGCCCCAGATCAGACAACAAAGGATGATCATCATCGAGCGCGCTTACAGCGATAGCAAGAATGGCGAAGAGCAAAGCCAGCCAGGATGTTGACACACTACCGGGATCATGGCAAAAATGCTGATACTCGGCTTCGAATGTCAAATCGTGAAGGATATGGAACACCTAGCGGGTTGTCAGCTGGCGTCCCCGCCAATTCCTTTCCGCAAAACATACCGAGGAAAAGACCTGAAAATAAACATCCTTTAGGGTATCACAATACCGGCCAGGCGGCAATATCGACAACAGCTCAGCACGTGAGATACTCCCGTTCCTAGCCAAGGGGATTTGCAAATCATCATCATCTTCCGCGACATCCGAATCGGAGTTGGGCAAACACTCCGCAGCGGGGCTCTTTGCCACTAAAGACTCCCATTGCGAAGCCAATGGCACATAGTGCACATGACCCGAAGGAGAAGTACGAAGTATACCAACGTTATCCAACATGGGGCCGAGGGATTCCCATGTCTCAGGCTCGGAGAAACTCCCAGCTGCACTCGTCCCACCTAGTGGCGAGACTGTGCCACCAGTGGATGTACCGGCCTGCGAGTTCATTTGCTTCTGGAGCAATCCTTCCAGGTTCCGAATTCGTGCTAGCAGTTCGTTCTGCACTGCGCTGTCGCCGGGGGAGGATTGCTCAGCTGAAAGTCGCGGCTGGCCGAGGTAGATGCAATCTTCGGCACCTAGACCGCGGCGTACGCATGTTTGACATGGCCGGCCGTCGCGCGAGCATCTGATCTTTCGTGTTCGGCAGGCCTGGCAGCTGATGGGAAGGCGCTTGCCGGTTGACCGGGATGAAGCCATAGATGGGGTTATGGAGGTCGAGGTTGCACTGAGATGAAGCGGCGCAATCACCTCCTCGTCTGAGGAGTTGTGGAGAGAAAGAGTGAGAAGATTGTCGAGCGGGGAGGAGCTACTGCTAGGGAAAATCGAACGGCCGGTTTCAAAAAGGGGTACTCGATGTATGTTGTGGGGTATGAATCGATGGGTTGTCCTTTGTTCATAGAGCTAATGAAAATCAAAAAAGAGAAAAGGAGAACCCACACTGGATGGGCGGGGATATTGGCGTTTTCAATGTTGAGATAAGAAGTGGACTGTCGAAGTCTTTCTATACTTCCGGATCCAATTATTTAAAAGGAGGCAGCCCTTTTTCTTCTCACATGGGATTGCGTCAATCGGAGAAAAAAGATTAGCGGCATACTTATTTGCCCCCTGTCTTGAAGAGGTCGAAGACCAAGTCATAATTCTATTTATTTAAAAGGGTCTAGGGGTTCTGGAGGTGACAACGTTCTTAACACGGGGAGTCCGATGCACGAAACCCTTCTAGAAGGGTGGAAATGGATCTTCGGGATTCTGGGCGATCCAAAACTTTAGCGGAAACGTCCCCAATGCTACTAAGTGCTGTTCAATGCAACTAACATGAATCCAGTATAGACTAGATCATATCAGGGCTTCCAATGATACAGCTGGAATCCATTGGCTCTGTTGCTCGGGCCCTCCCATGGGGAACACCTTAAACACCGAAGAAACTGCGAGTATACTACGACACGTAATTAAAAACATTTTTTTTAGTGGAGTGTGCGATAATCCTCCGTACGGAGGGACAATTCGACTTTCAAAGCCGAGTTGCCGTTGCCACTAGGCATGGCTCAGCCACAGTGGCTGCCGATCATTTCCCTCTTGCTTCAGCTCCCGTATGTTGTACAACTAGTGAACTGCCCAAATAGGATGCTTACTGATCAGAGTGGCTTTGCCTCAGCCACATGCATCAGGACCCCGGTGTCTACCACAGATTACGGAAATGAAACGTGAAAATTCGGATTAACATGGAGATGTCAGTGTCAGTTCCAGCGTGTCGGAGTTTTGACGTGTTGATTTTTCTCAACGTTGATAGAACGGAGACCCCGGTTCGGGGAGACTGGAGACTTTACCGATTCCCTGCACATCCTCATTATTGATCTCGAATGGATCCCCCTGATACAGGGTCAAACATTTAATGGACTACTGGGATCTGAGAATCTAAGAATCTAAGAATCTGAGAATCTGAGAATCCGAGAATACTAGTATCATCTTGTAGAATCCCTGCGGCTCTCCAATTCCTTGTTACCATTGTGTGAACGATCGCGGGCTCGGACCCTTCAGGGCTCGTGTTCCTGGCTCTCGGGAATCCGGTAACTTTTAACGTTGAACTAGTTGAACTACGTGGCTCCGAGGTAAACCCGAAGAAACTGCTGAAAAAAAAAGTCCGAAGAATTTTGAACACATCCGTAGGCCCTTGGGTGCTTGAAAAGAAACAAGAAGGTCAAAGAGTCATGTCTCAAAAGTACGTGGCAAACAGTCTCCCGATGTCAAAGTTATTCAGGAAAGCCAGCCGTTCCAACCAAAAAAAAATAATGAAAAAAAAATCATCCGTGGATCACAATACTCCCCCAGGTTGTAGGAGCTCTAATGATCGTCGATAGAGATCATCCCGACACGTGGTGATAGAGTTTCTTGGAAAAAAAAACCCGACCTTCAATAGCTACGGAGTATAAGGAGTATCGTAGGGGTGTTAGAGCCACTAATGTACGGAGTAGTCGAGATTATCTCACTTCAACCCGAGAATAGCAGCATGCAGGTTCGTGCCAAATCATTGGTCGAACGGCGAATTACTTTGTACAAGTCTAATCTGGACTGTTCTAATTCTCCATGCTTGTCTGGTGGGGAACCGAAGGCTGAAACGGGGGCAACACACGAGCTGCGGTCCACGGTTTCTAAGACTGTAATTTAAATCCTTCAGCCTAATGCACATGCCGCCTAACAACGGTCTGTTTGACTTTGTGGCTTCAGTAGCTCTTGGGAAGGCAAATTGAAAAGGCAAGCAATTTGGCCTACCGGAAGAAGGGGGTTGGAATTCCGCTACCCTACACCACTTGAGTCTGTCACATGAGAAAGAAGACTTAAAAACACACGTACTTCTGGGGTTGCGGTTCAAATGGCAATTGTAAACGGCATAGGTACCTGGCTGATCTTCACGAGGCAGGGCCTGTGTAGTTCAAACTGCCTTTGATGTTCTATGAGTTGATTCAATATGCTGTGTCTCGCCGATCACACTAACCGCACGCTTAGGACCCTCGTCCGGATCCACGACCCGGTCACCGAAAGCAGCTGCGACTTCTTCAAGGGTCTTCTGCTTAGTTTCCCTAAAACAAGGTTGGCTTCTTCTTCTTCTTCTTCTTCTTCTTCTTCTTCTTCTTCTTCTTCTTCTTCTTCTTCTTCTTCTTCTTGCTGTATCTCTCCCTTCATCTCCGATAAAAAGAAACAAATGGAACGGAAATAGACCAGCGACTTACGGGAAATAAAAGTAAGCGATCACTAAAAAGAATGCGGAGCTTACTATAAACACATAGTAGTAATTCTCGTGGATATTGGCAAAAGCGCTGGGTCCAGCCTCGGTGACTGTTTCAGGTGAAGGAGTTAGCAATGGCAGACAGAATTGCACTTGATTTTCAGAATAGGGAATGCCAAACGTACTGCCAACATTAACGATAAAGTGGGATGCGGCGGCAAGACCCATCACCTTGCTGCGGAGAGCAATAGGAAGAACCTCGGCGCCATATAGCCATGTAGTGCTGTTGAGCATACCATCTACAAAACGAAGAGAAAAACTGGAATTAGCGACAGAATCTAACAGCGCTGGTCCGAATGCGTACAATAGTAAACCACAAAGAGATAGATTCCAAGAATCGCGAAGCCCTTTCCGATGCGATTGTCTGTATTCTGGAATTGCCTCTGCATGACTGCGGCATAAATTTCGACTAGAGCCACCCCAGCCAATCCGGTGATCAGCATCCTGTGGGGGTCAGCGGCAAGAATGCAAATTGATAACTCGGGAGATCTACTGACTTCCGACGTCCCCATTGGTCGGTCATGTACATTGTAGTCACCGCGTTGGACAAAAAGGCAACGGTACCGTAGACTGCAGCTAAAGCGAGGATCGAGTGTGATCCGATTCCAAGGCCCTTGTACAAAATAGCTGACAGATAGATTAGCATTCCAACAATTCTAATCCCGGCACTCACACCCCGAACTCACTCTGGTAATATTGAATGACATTGACACCGGTCAAACTTGTCATCGTTTGCACAGCAATAGACCTGAACATCCCAGTCAGTTCCCAAACACTCAATCCAACAGGAGTGTAGAAAAATCAACTCACACAAGCACCCGATGTCTAAACAGTTTAAAGATCTCGCGGTAAGAAGTCATCTCCCCCTCCATCTCATACGCAATCTGCGCCTTCATAAGCCCAAACTCCTCCTCTATCTCGTGGAGTGCAAGCCCCCGTCGAATACGCGCAAATTCGCTGCGCGCCAACTCAATCTTCCCATAGCGAATTAGCTGGCGTGGCGAGTTAGGCATGAAAGTCGCAAGACCAACGAACATGATCATACCCCAGGGGATCTGTATCCCCAAAGGCAAGCGCCATTGAATGGGGCCGTAGGGTGCGTAGCTGCAAGCATAGCCGACCCAGTTCGACACCATTGTTCCGAATGAGATGCCGCAGCCGGAGATGCCACCGATTAGACCGCGGTATTTGGGGTCCGAGATCTCACTCAGATAGATTGGGACTGTTGCGACCATGCCACTGAGGGATTTTTTTAGTTCTGGGGTGTTTGTAGATTTGGTGGAAAGAATGTATGGCTTACCCTACTGCGAAGCCGGCTAGCACGCGGCCGGCAAGGAACATGCCGATGTTGACGGAGGCGGTTTGAATGACGGTGCCGATTGTCACGATTATGCACATCATTTGCATGAAGCGAATGCGGCCGAGTCGATCACCGATGAATGTTTGTGTAAGGGCGCCAACGGCTTCGCCGGCAATGTACACGGCCACAACCTATAATAGTTAGTTTCTGGGTCTGGTCTATCGGATTGGAGGTTAAATGGCTAGTTGGCCGGACATACAGCTCCTGTGATGCCATTTGATGGCTTTTTCATATAGTCAATCCAGCTTTGGTGGGCAATCGCTAGTCAATCGTTAATTTTGAGTCTCTAATGTGGAATTTGGGGAAAGTTGTAACTCACTGGTTGTAGCAATGCCCGTATCAAATCCCTATGTTCAATCGTCAAGACGGTCCAAGGTCAAATGAGATCGAAAAACGAAATCAACCTACAAACAGAAATGTGCCAATTGCAGCAAAGAAAGCAATACTCAGCGAATACCACATCGCCATCTTGGTTTCTTGACTTTTGGCGGAATCCGACAGGGTTGCTTTAAAATAAAAGAGAACCCGTAGATCACTAAGAGCGAAAAGCAAAAGCAGCCCTGGGTGATCATTATATCACCTGCCCTCCCACAGAACAAGCCGGGCTACGCCCGATGGGCCGAGGATGCGTCACACAGCAGAGAAACAAGGGATAGACGATACAGACGCCCATTGTCGGATGAGGGCCGACAGACCGATTCCTGGGGAAGCGGGGGAACTGGGGTAGATCCTGGAGACGAGAGTTCCCCCACTAGAAAGGATATAACGCGGTGATTGGGATGTTTTAAGCCGTTTAGCCTCGCAGAATAGGAAGATGGCTGCTTCAAGGCTCTCCTGTGGTCCCCCGGAATGCGGGGTTGGTGTCCTCAGGGTAGATCATTCGGCGATGACCTGCGTCTTCAGATCATTTTCTTTCACTTTCGGCATAAAGACTTCCTCCCATGTTTCACCCGGACCAATGGTATAAAACCACTTTTGCTGAAAACCGGGTGACCGCTTTGGAATGATGTCTTGGCGTTCGCTTCATTCCCACGCGCGCTATCTCGTCTTTCAGTGCTTTCTGACTTGGTTCTGATCATACATTGGTTTCTTTGGAATTTACATGCGAACTGAAGAATGGTGGATGCTCTGGGGGACGAAACATCACATGTCGCTAGGGAGGTCCTTGTCAAGTGCTCGGAGAGACCCCGATGACTGTACCAAGGTTAGATCAGAGTGTGATGTTTTCCATTGGTGGCTGACGGCGTTCATGTATATTTTAATGGGCTGTCACTAATTTGATAGCCTCGGGAGTAGATGAAGCGAGGCATGAGACTTCGACATGTTGCACTAGACACTCCACAGGCAAAAGTGGACCCATCTAGAGGACAAGTAAAGGGCCTTGGCAAGAACTGGGGCATTTAACCCACTCCTTATATAACTTGAAATCTTGGTCTGCTCCTCAATCTACTAGCTAGTCGGGGACTGCACCTGAGGAACGTCTGAAGTGAAAGTTCCAAGAGTGCAATGGATAGGAAGACACGAGAGATGTGGTATGTTACTACGATGAAGAGACAGCTAATAGCAACTCTACCGTGAAGAAAGAATAATCATTCGACAACTCATGATCCGGTAGTCATAGATAGTGTTTTTTAATAGTTGAATTCCTATTTCATTTTTCCATTGCCAAGGTCATGTATGCTCCGCAAGAACAGCGAAGCACTTTGTGCAATGCAAGAAACCCAGAAGCCGAACAAGGAAATTGAACAATCTAGAAAACGAGGGCAGCACCCTTGGTCTTCTTGTCACCACTGTAATGAAAATAGACACGTCAGTGCTGGATACCAAAACGATGGAACAATGAGCAGATGCAACATACCCCAGCTCGAAGTGCTTGCAGCGCTTCAGGGCGAGCTGCTTCTTGGACTTGCAAGCAGTGCACTCGAGACGCAGGACGACCTTCTTGGTGGTCTTGGCCTTCTTGTGGAAGACAGGCTTGGTCTGACCACCGTAACCACTCTGCTTCCGGTCGTAACGGCGCTTACCCTGGGCGAAGAGGGAGGCCTAAATCACAAAAGAGAATACGATCAGCAATAGCTCACGACTGCCATTCCGGTGTCGAAGGCACTAACCTTGCCAGCCTTGTACTGGGTGACCTTGTGCTGTGTGTGCTTGTGGCACTCCTTGGACTTGCAGTACGTCCGGCGGGTTTTGGGAATGTTGACCTGTGCGGAGAAATATCATGAGCTTGTGTCCTTTTGGTCTGATTGTTCGAATCAATTTCAACATGGTTCGCGCCCCAATTTCCCGTTCCAATTAGTGCGGTCGCGAAGAGATTGATCGTGTATTTCGGATTGTATATTTCATGGTAGAAAGCGTGGTTTGAGTAGCTGGGATTCAGAAGACCGCGGGGTGCATCCATTGTTATCTGCTTCTCAGATCCTCAATTTCGTCACCAAGTGTTGTTATTGCAGGTTTCGCCACCTGTTCCCTCTCCAATGCCGACTTTCAAATTGCATGCTGCGGATAGTCCGGTGAAAAACCGACGGTTGGGAGGTTCATGATGTGGTGATTCGCGACGGTCGGCGGATTTGACGATTTCGAGGTCGGCCGCCACAACACAATCTCTCCACGACTCGAGGAATTTCGAACGGTCGGGGCTTGCAGAACACTTTGACATATCTCGTAGGGTGATATCCTTACCATTTTGACTGACTTGGCCGGATAGCTGGGTGGTGGTCGTTGGATTGTCGCTTGTCGGAGGAGAGCAAGTGCGATTGTTGGGTTGTGGGATTTCACTCGCTTAGGCCCTATCGGGTAGGCGCTAACCATTTTAGGGGTCGCCAGGAAGATAATGCTGAGTCACATGTGAACAAGGATGCCTGAGGCATCTTTGCCTTAACTGGTCTCAAGGAGTGTTTGTAGTCGTTTGTTCGGCTCATATCTTGTATGCTACTCTACAAATCCGTCTCCGAGTACAATACTATCCCCCACCCCATACCATGTTGGGCCCTTCATCAATTCTAACCCCTTCTCATGGCCTATCACCCACTGCCCTTGGGATGGGTTTCCCAATCTCGACCACACATTTGAGCGGAGTTCATGATTGAGGTCCTCGATCTTATCAATAAGTCCCAATGCCTTCTTCTCGAACTCCTCTTGGGGATTTGAGTCTCCTTCTTTGGCACCACTAGGCGTAATAAAGCGCGCAATGGTGAGATGCGCAGATGGTACGGTATATCTGGCCGCGATTGGACAGCCAGATTGCGTTACAATGTTGTAGAGATCACTTCGCAGATGGTGATACGTAAAACGATCATCTTTCCCACTATATTCACTGCGATCTTCCTCGCCAGCTGCTGGTACAAAGCTCAAAGCAATAGCAGAGGTGTCATAGCTGATTACTGGCTTGACCAGCCGTGCACGGTGGTTGAGAGTGTAGTTTGCCAGCTCTGCGACGGACCCGCTCATTTTGAGAGAAGAGGCGATCCCGTCAATTTCAGATCCTGTCAGTTCAGATCTGATCTCTAGAGTGGTCATGTGAAGATGATGCGGGGGCACGAGCCAGAGACCTATGTTGTAGAATGTCAGCACAGTCTCTCTACATTCTCCACGAATAATTCATGGCACTCACCTGGTCCAATCAAGGGTCCTATTTCCTGCTGGATCTTGTAGACCAAGTCCTGGATATGCTGTGGCGGGCGTGCCCAAAAGGCAAGGTTGTGTCTCGGGTCGACGAAGTTTGTCAATCCCTTCTCAGCCTCAAGAACTTTGGATAGGATCTCATCTTCTTTCCATTCGGAAAACCCAGGTTGGCAGATTTGGTTTCTGAAAATGGCATTTCGATTGCTTCTATGGACCTCGTAGGCAATTTGCAATTGTTTCTGCGTGGGACTCTCAGCATTTGGCTATTGGCAATCATTGACTCAAACTTACCGGGTTATTTTCGGAACTAATGATCAATTGCTGAAACTGATTCTCAGTTACATGATGCACCGGTTCATTGGCCATGTTGTTTAAGATTGGACTTGACTGGTGATTCTAATCGGGGCCAAGGGTTTCAGCGGGGTAGATGGGGTAAAACTGCAAGCAACTGAGAAGGACAGATTTGTGCTATCTACTTTTGGGCTATCAAGTCGTATTGTTGTACAGAATGATCATCATAGTACTCGGACCAATTGCTAGTCAGAGAGTAAGCTTTTTTTGATCTCTTACTTCTTTCCAAGATAATGATTGACTATGTTACATTAGGACCTTTGGTCCTTATATATACTTGAATCGGAAGAACTGTGGAGGGCAATTCATTCTCAAAATGGCAGTTTAGAGTCTTGCTGCTAGATTGAAGACAACAACCTAAAAAAGATGTCCCGTCTTCCTTAAAAACTCCGAATTATGATATTCTCTACATTACACTGGATACATTGTTGCAAGTGAAAAGTAAGGCTCCGACGCGATTAGGCAATAAGGCCACAGGCCCCCACCAAATCCCCGCCAGGCTCACACCTTCTCTCCAAACACTCATTGACAAGAGCTGTACCTTCAACTATCTTCCAAAGCCTTGCTGCGTGAATTCCATTCAAGCCTATTCAAAAGCCACGGCCGCTTCAATATGTTGATCAAGTTCGTTTCTCAACTCCAGCATAACCCCGTCCTTATTGCATCATCGCATGACCCCAAACTCGAAAAGATCACCCACAGAGCCGCAAGTTGACATTCCGCGTCCAAACAGGGTCCGAACACTCACCGGCAAGGAGATCGAGCTCGACATTGAACCTGACTACAAGGTAAACCACCCACCAGCCTGGATGTGTTTCCGGCTCCTCCCCGCACGGAATCACTCTACCCTTCTACTGAAACCACATCCACAACCCCCGTTGTATCCGCGCTCTATAAATATGCCTATACTTATACGCATGCTTATATACAGGTCTTCCGGATAAAGGAGCGTGTCGAGGAGAAGGAAGGAATTCCCCCGGTCCAGCAACGACTCATCTTCGGCGGCAAGCAGATGTAAGAAACTGCTCCCTGAGTTATTTCCCTCTCTTTTTTATTGTCAATAACAAGTCCAAACTAAAAATTTGGTATCAATAGGGCGGACGATAAGACAGCCTCAGAATATAACCTCGAAGGTGGCGCTACGCTCCATCTCGTGCTTGCTCTGCGTGGAGGATGCGCTGCGACATCGATATGAACGCTTCCTGTCATTTTTAGATACCATATCTCTGCAGCAATGTGAATCAGTTGAGAAACACTAGTGCTTGTCCACCCCGCATCCTATTTCGCGAAGATTCGAGCTGCAGGGAACGCGGCGGATGGGATTTGAGCTCAAATGGCGAGTCAACATGCAAAATCGGTGTTCTGGGTTGAAACGGTTGAAATGGTTTAATTTTTGGGTTCTTTCCCCCGAGGACATCATTTCTTATTATGAACTGGCTTGGATTTGGCTAAACCGTTCCTAACTCTGTTTCTAGACTGTGGATGTTGCATATGTCTACTTCAGTGTACCCAAGCGCCCAGTCCAACCTGCAGGATACAATCCGGGTTTTGCAGAGTGCATCTTGAAATGAAGCACCGAGAGATAATTATAAAATTCTACCTTAACCTGCCCAAGCCAACTGAATTTTGAACGCCGTGCGTGCGACGACCTTTGACAAAGTTTAGTACACGACAAGCTTGACGACCTGGCCAGCAGTCTTGGTTGCACTTTCCAGGATAGTTGAAGCGTGGGAATGTTGGCTCATATAGGTATCGGGTTCCAGTCTGTTGTGTATCCAATCCCTTTACAGTTAGGGAAATGGACTCTAGGATTAGACAAGCAGAGCCCATATTAAGATTATCGACATGACTGGAGAAAGGGATCATTGTTTATATATGTGTATATATGTTTTTCGAAAATTGATGAAAAAGAAACACGAAATGGATCGCAGATGAGGTGAATCCCACCTCGGGTATCAGAACGAGCCCAAACTCCCTGCTCCAACTGTAAACATTCACATTACTTATATCCCACATAGGCAAATATATACCAGGCCTTCTTGAGAAGATATCCCAAAATTACGAAAGATCTGGCGATCCGATGCTCACGACAAGTGTCGCCGCTTTGCCGGCATGAAGATGCTCGGCGCCGGACGTCGACGAATAACACCTGGGCGGGGTAGGTGAGGTCCAGAGAAAGGCGGGCGGGAGGGGGGGAGAGAAGAGGTGTGGGGAGCGGACAGAGAAGAAGAAGAAGAAGAAGAAGAAGAAGAAAGAGAGGGGTTCTCTGCACCGTGAGGGGAGGTCGCACGGCGCTTCAGCTTAGGGTCAGTAGCCACAGCTGCTAACTTCTTCACGCCAGACACATCGCTGCTAGATGCGTCACGTGGTGAGGTGGTGGAGGCGGAAGTAAGTGCACGTAGTCGCGCCTCATTCTTGGCCAGCATGGGGTGCTGAAGCGAGGGTGGGAGCGTGCTCGGGCGCCGGATGGTGCGTGGGGGAAGTGGTTGGGCATTCGAGGCCGGCCGTGGTGCTGGCTGCTCGGCGGGGCGCCGGTGTTCTTCAACCAAGCCAATTGGTGCGCGCTTGACTTGCGATGCACGGTTGTTCAGAGACTTTGTAGGCATCGTCAGCGCGGTGTTGCGCTTCTGCGGCTGGAAGATGCTAGGTTTCTTTTCAACAAGGCCCGTCTTGCGATCATATGTAGTGTGGCGTTGTCGCATAGAGGGTCGGGATCCGGCCATACGCAAACCCTTGCTCTCGGGGATGAGTTTGGGAGTGAGAAGTGCACGCTTGGCACTAATGCCGTCAATGGCCATCTTCAATTTCTCCGCATCGGCGTCAAGAGAACGTTGGACTTGGTCGCGAAGGTCACAGTACACCCCATACCAATCGTTAGTATTCTCCGGGAGTTGATATTTTTCCCACTCGGGAATGTCTCGTTTAATGAGCTCAAGCCACATTTCTTCATCTTCTTCAGCGAGGTGGGGGGATGCGAGCTCCATGGCGTGCTGTACATTCAGAACGAACTAGATTAGTAAATGGACTTGCAATTTAAAATGAAGTGCAAGTGAGACGATACAGAGTGAGGTTTAGAAAGACGTACCAGCTTTTCGGGGTTATGGATATTAAGCAGGATGGGACGAGCAAGTGAGTATGGCATGGCGCCTAGATCATCTAGGTCTAAAAATCACAGATTTAGTCTGAAATTACCCATAACGAGAGAGTTGATTTCATATATACCTTTGACGAAACGGATAGCCGTGGCTGTGGCCAGGTGAAGTAGTGATGGGGCCGGCATCTTGCTTATAATGGGAACAGTTCAAGCCAAATTGAGTACCACAAAATGTGCGACATGAGGTGAAAGCAAGTAAATGAGATATAACAAAGAAAATGAGGCACGAGTCGCTTTTGATTGAACAATGGACATATAGGAAGACGCCAAATGCGACGCTACTCTTGAGATTGTAGACGGCAGGAGGCTCGGGTTTAAATATGGAGGATGATCACGCGGACGACGCTGACTGGCTGCCTGACGCTCTACGGATTCAATGCTTCGGTTTATCGGTTGTAGTTGTTCAAATATTTCAACTCTACGGAGTACCGTTAAAGAAACTAGCACTAATCTGATATTTGTACGATTCAACAATTTCTCAAATAAGGACTGATGACTTTTATTGCCAAAATACTGGGGGATCTCAAACTTCGATTTTCCTATTTGCTGAGAATCCACCCCAACGACAGGGGGTTTGACCGAATGCTGACACTCTCTCTTACGAACCTCGAAGGTGATTAAACTGCCCTTAGAATTGTGAAATTGACGTAGATACAGCAACATTGAAAGCATTGAGCCATCTGGCACACCAGCCTTCCAGAGGAATCCTTCAATTGTCCATGTATACGGCATATCCGATTTAACAAAGCATTTGGTAGGTCCTTGGAATATTGAAGGTGAGCTCTGTTGCCATTTGAACCAGCTTTGAATATGCCAACGGCTTCTAGCATTCATCTTGCAGTGTCTCGGATCCATCCTCCGTCGTCTTCGGAAGTTCAAGTTGGAGACACGTGATGCAAACAAGCAGCAAACAATGCAAACGTCGTCTTGATAGCATCATCGAGGGGCATGTTAATGAACTTTCGAGAAATCGAAAGTCAGCTCAGCATATCACTGAAATCCTTTTTGTCAGATACAAAATCCACCGGTATGTCCTTTGTGGTCTTTTCTTTCCATCGTGATGAATATCTATATATACACAGTTCCTTGAACAAATGTGCCAGAAGTGCTAGTCGTACAGCTATCATTCGGGTATCCTGAGTGCTGGATGTAGATTTCCAGTAGCGTCGATTAGAACTAACCTTCTTGTCCTCTGGCCATCTTGTTGAAATCTCATTCGAGAATCATACTTAATGTCTCAGACACGTCTAATTATCACCCAGAAAATCACAATGGCACCCCGCTCGCAGCTAGAGATCACTACTTCCTCCGTGACCCGCCTGGTCAAGGAGGAAGCTTCCTATCATAAGGAGCTTCAGCAGCAGTATGAGCGTATCAAGAAGCTGGAGGCTGATACTGCCGGTGACGATGAGAACCGCGAGTACACCCTGAAGCAAGAGGTATATGCACGGAAGTTTTGCTTCCGCTGAATCATCTTCCCCATCTTGTTGGAACCTACAATACTGACATAAATGATAGCACATGTCTCTTGAAGAGACCAAGAAGGTTCTGCCTACGTTGAAGGAGAAGATTGTGCAGACTGTTGCGAACTTGGAAGCTCTCATTGTGAGTGTAACATCCCTTTTCTGGTATCTATCTGTATTCTTGGATTCCACTAACCGATTTTGATAGACCGAGGAGGGCAAGAAGGGACCAGAAAGCAATGTTGAGCACATTACCGCTGCCAAAGAAGCCATTGCCCAGGCTAAGGTCGCACAGCGCGAGATCTCGTGAAAGAGATGTTGATTACATCAAAACTAAGAAAATACCCATATAGTGGAGGATTCCATAATTTCATTCAATAAATCGAAGCCATTCCCAACGCCAGACCGTAAACCAGAACTCCCTTGCTAGTGCCAGTAATGTACACGCCGAAATGCATCTTCAGGTAGTATCCATCTTCCCGCTAAAGTCATCAGGGAGTTCCTCTCCTTCCTCGAGTTCGGATAATTCACCATCGCTAACTGCAGAGATTTCACCCTCATCAAGCATATTGGTGTCCTCCCGTGCCCCATCGCCCTGGGCGGTTGTGATTTGCCGCAAAGGCGATGCAGCCCCGGCAGCCCCGGCCTTCTCAACCTGCAAAGCAGATGAGCGACCGGCCTCATCTTGGCCGTGCTGGGAGGGAGTCACCTCATCGATTTCAGGACCAGGAGTATTCCCACTGCTAGCCTTGCCCTTGGATGTAACATCTCCCTCGTCCCCGTCTTCGCCCTCCTGCATGCCTTCCCGGCGCTCGACTTCCTCTTTCTCATCGCGGATCAGGCGACGAAGCTGCATCCCTTCTTCCACAATGCGACCGAACTGCTCGCGTCGCTCAGCCCAAGTCATAGCGTAATCCTTGCTCTCCTTCTCGAGATCTGCAATCTCCAGTCGCAATTTCTGAAGGTTCGCTGACTGGTCTTCGCGCGGTTTGAGCAGGCGATTGCTCGTGATTTTGTCCGTCAATTCATCGTAGGTCTTTCGCAAGGAGAGAAGTCGCTGTGCCTCTTCGAGTTGACTGCGTAGATCGGCCGTGCTTTCCCGTACAGACTGCATTGTCGAAAGGATCTGAACTCGCTCGGTGGCATACCGCTGGCGTTCTAGCTCGTTGCTGGTAAGAAGAAATTGGACACGCGCAATGCTGCCCTCGAAGGCGGCAAAGTCAAGTGAGACATCCTCGCGGAAGTGGCGCCATTCTTCGAGCCTTTTCTGTTTCTCGGCTTCTGTTGCGGTCGCATCGGAGTCGGCGTCGGTTTCATCGGTGGGGGGAGTGAGAGGGAGCGAGGATGGTGAGACAATGAGAGATTCGGGGTTTAACAGTCGTTTCGAAATTCTCTTGAATGGTTTTTCTTCGACGTTGAGAAGACGCGACTTGTGGAGCGCATCTGTAAGAGCTGGGGCGTTAACATTATCCTGGGAGGACAGAGCTGGAGGAGACTCGACCTTCTTCTGGCTGGCCTAGCAGCCCATAAAAAGCCATTTTGTGTATCTGATAATGGAATTAAACCCCAAATTCTAATAGCACAGGCTTGATTGAAAGTGTTCGCGACTTCAAGGTGATCGAAGTGGGGAGGAATATGAAAAGTGAAGCCGAGCGGTCTAGCACTTGAACTCCGCTTTTAACCTTATGTGACCTCAGGGCTCAATAGCTGTTCAGCAACAATCAGCTGTGCTGCCTAAAACGAGAATAGTTGACTTTCGTTGACACAACTAACCATAGCCTCCGAGGCTTTTTGGCCAGAGACAAAAATTCAAAGACCAAGAATCGATCGTGTGCTTGCTTCAGGATCACGCTGTACTCCGCAACCCAAAGCTGTTTGCAAGCACAGACTGGTGAAGCCATAACCAGAGGCCCGATGGACCTTGTCGCTCAAGGCTCTATGACTGCTTTCCTAAATGTTAACTTCGTCGTGTCCATTGTACTTGCCTCAGTCTCATCACTATGACGGAGATGTACTCCGGCCTCCACGTGGGCCAGCGGTTTTGCTCCCTGGAAGAGTTCAAAACAGTGGTACGGAGTATATCAGTCAGGCAACATTGGGAGCTTCGTGTGGCTCGTAGCAACAAAAAGAGTGTGGTTATTGGATGTCGATCATCAGCAAATTGCTTCTTTCGCGTGGTCTGTCGCTCAAACAAAAATGCGACATACATCACCAGTCTTCAAGATAGTCATAGTTGTCGCCGGAGTGCGACTTCTCCTGCGGTTACACCCGCACGCTCTGAAGCTTCTCATGTGCGATTTCTGCTGAGTGAGATCCCAAAGCTTTTCGACATGAAGTCGAAAGTACGAGCCCAGGATGTCGTGGATGCTGTGAAACGCTACCATGGGTATGCCATCTCTATGCGCCAGGCACAGCGAGCTCTTAAAAAACTCCAACCACGACATGCTGAAGACCAGGGTGAACACGGGCTGGATTTCGATGCGAGTGCAGAGGAACAGGAATCCCCCAAGTCGCAAGGAGAAGGGGTGCACGCATATGGGGAGATATCCGAGAATCGCTGGCCTCCAGAGAATATCTCATCATCGCTGATGGATGTTGATAACCTGTCCACAAACGAGACCCCGAACAACAACCTACCTGCTCTACCCTCTAGTTCCCAAGCCCTGCCACCTTCACAAGTGCAACATGCACCGATTACCACACCAAAAGAACCCTCTTTCGATCAAAACCAGCACCCTATGACTATACCACAATCAGGTGTCGAATACCAGACTGCTACTTCTTTACCAGTAGGAGTGGGTGGACCTCCGAAAGTCTACCGCGAGCGCAGTGATCACGATGCCGTCCCTCAGATGCTTCTTTCCAATTTCAAGATTGAATTTACCTGCACAACCTGCGGGTCCTTGAACCAGAGCTTTTTCCCAAACCAGGGCAATGTCACCGGTGCCAGCTATATGACCCATCATGCTGTACCAAATCCTGGCAATGTCCCAAGACACGCTGGGTCTACTTCCCAGAATGGTGTTGGTAGTAGTAGTAATCCAGTCGGCGAAACCCCTGCTTACGATATTAATACCTCCAACACACCTACCATCCAGAACACCTGGCCTGGTGGTGGCCTGGGAGTTCAAATTGCACCGGCACGCACCTAATGTCATGTTAAGAGGATGGTTTTGGCTACAATTTTACTGAGATCGGAATATGGGGCTGTGCAAAATCATGCTTGCACACCGCAACCGAAGCCAACGCGGGCACCAGTTGACGTTGTGCCTTACTATGGATGAAAATGTATGGTATTCAATGCCCTGACCGTACCAGTTTCTGATTTTTTACGCCTTGAATCAGAAGCCAGGATCAAAATTTTGGACACAGGATCCAGATGACGATGACAGCATCTCAATCAGACCTGAAGAGGGCTAGTTCGATGAGTCTTTCTGGACACTGCTTTGATTTTGATCTAAAACCTCTACACAGGCTTATCTTATGTATGGGAGTTAACATCTGAGATGATCTGGGACTGGATATTATCAGGGCTAATATTGTTGTGAAGTCAACAAGCCACGATGGTTCATGCTGTTTTGGTACCACTTGTTGATGGGATTGGAAATGCCCATTCCTATCTGCTTGATTCTGAGGCTATCCCCTTATCTACTACTGCATATTTTTATACCCTTACATTCAATCAAGTACGTTGTTCCCCAAAACGAGTCTCTTCCCATATGCGAAGCTAGACGATGTCGCGCAACGCCGCGCTCACATGTTAAAAACGACTAGGTGAGTTCATTTGGTAGAAATGGACCGCTTAAAGTAGTTTGTGGAGATGATAATAGAGGAAGAAAGTCAAGGGGCTATGGAATTTAACTCGAAGCCCAAAGGCTTGCCTTCGTCAAAAGTGCCTTTGGTTATCGAGTTGCAAAGCGTTCAGTATAGGCGGCGGTGTGCCAGCACTCAAAGATCTATACACATCTATGTCTAGGAGATTTGGCTTCAAAAAGTAGCAGCCCAATCGGCCAATTTGACCTCAACAAGCGATTAAGCTGCTGAACAATAGTGGAGCCATGAGTACTTCGGAGAAGTATCCGGAGAAAGAAGGCCTAAATTGCCCGATTCGGCATCCCAGACCGCCAATTACTCAGCCACCGGACGTCCGATCGGCTATCCGACACTATGGATCCACAAAAGACTCTCCCCTTCGCCAACCGCACTGAAATGTTGACGCGGAATTGAGCCGACAATGTCTGTAGAGCCGTCCATCGCTGTAATATTGGGCCATAATGCAAACGGGTACACGGGCTTGTACTTGCGTCGGATCTAGATCCGATGTGATGCCCGCCAGCGGCGCTCAAGCTCCAATCGACATCCAGCGGTTGCCGATGGATCGAAAAGCACTAAAAACCTTGCTAGGGAAAAACTTTTCTTATCAATTGAATGACTCTTATGTGAACAAATTTACCTTGGGATTAGCTGTTTCTTTAAATGACATATGCAGCTATACGCACTCTGGATAATATCACGCCAAGCATCCCCCCCAACCTTAATATACTTCCGTGTTGCAGAATCTTTCCCGCCACAAGGTACACATGGCCTTGAACGAGAACGCTTGAAAAACTTAGGGAAAATTACCAGTTGAGCAAGCTTCGCGCCGTCACATCTGCAACAATGAACCGACAAAGAGAGGCCGAAAAGGCTCTCCACGACCAAACAAATATTCTCCCGTTCGCACAACTCATGGTTGTCTTCACCGGTCTGGCAATTTCCTTGCTAATTTGCATGGTGGATCAGAATGGCATCAGTGTCACACTACCAACGATCTCACGCGAACTGGGTGCCCAGAACACCATCTCCTGGGCTGGAACCTCATCGCTAATTGCAAACACGATGTTCACGGTGCTGTATGGTCGACTGTCAGATATATTTGGCCGAAAAATCATGTACATCTCCGCATTGATCTTGCTGTGTATTGCAGACCTGCTCTGTGGCTTGTCCCAGAACCCGGCCATGTTCTATGTTTTCCGAGGCTTGGCTGGTGTCGGCGGTGGTGGTGTCACCTCTTTGACCATGATTATTGTCTCCGATGTCGTGACCTTGGAACAGCGAGGCAAGTACCAGGGTATTTTGGGTGCATCTCTGGGCCTTGGTAATGTCATTGGACCATTTCTGGGAGCTGCATTCACCATGCGTTCAACGTGGCGCGGTTTCTTCTGGCTGATTTCACCATTGGCTGCTTGCTCTGCAGTCGTAGGATACTTCCTCATTCCGAATAACGCACGCAAAGATAGCTTCCGGGAAAATATTGGCCGCATTGACTGGTTCGGACTGCTTGCGTCGTCCATTGGTATCATTTTCCTCTTGATTCCTATATCGGGAGGTGGATCCTATTTCCCATGGGACTCACCGATGGTCATTAGTATGCTCGTGATCGGAGGTTGTTCACTCGTTGCATTTTTGCTCATTGAATGGAAAGTGGCTACACTTCCAATGCTACCAGGTATGTTGTAACACCTCGTAGTGGTAAAACGGGCATTCCGTTGACATGAAACAGTCGTCTTCTTCAAAAATAAGGTCATATCTGCAATCTTCTTGCAGAGCTTTCTATATGGTGCAGTTTACCAGTCAACCCTTTACTATCTACCATTGTATTACCAGAATGCCCGTGGTTGGTCGCCAATTGTCTCTGCGGCTATGACATGTCCTATGGTTGTGGCCCAGTCAAGCTTCTCAATCATATCTGGATTGTACATTACGCGAGTAAAACGCTATGGCGAGATCATTTGGATTGGATTTGGCTTGTGGACATTGTACGTTGATCGATGCCTACGATTCTCTACTTTCATCCTATGCTAACGGTATCATTCTCACAGGGGGTCAGGTCTCATGTTATTGTTCGGTACCCACACACATCCAGCCGCTATTGCCGTCATTGTAGCAGTCATGGGCGCCGGAATCGGCTTCACATTTCAGCCCACTCTCGTGGCCCTACAAGCACATTGCACCAAGTCCCAAAGAGCAGTCGTGATTGCAAACCGTAACTTCTTCCGCTGCATTGGTGGTTCATGTGGTCTCGCTATCTCTGCGGCTGTTCTGCAAGCCGCTCTTCGCTCCAATCTACCAAGCAAGTTCGTATACTTGGCAGATTCTTCGTACTCACTTCCTTCGAGAGCGAATATCAGTGCAACTGAATGGGTTTCAATTCTGCTTTCTTATAGCAAGGCTTCCCACACAGTGTTCGTTGTGCAGGTCCCCATCATCGGTGTGTGTTTCCTGGCATGTATGTGCGTGCGTGACAGAGGTCTAGAGCGACCAAAGGAGCCGGAAGAGATGGAAGAAGAAAAGCGGAAAGCGCAAGAAGAGAGAGATGCCGAGGCGGCCACTTCTGAATCCTCCGAGGAGTCTGTCGACCACCAGACATACCACCAGGCCGAGAAGCATCATTCTGCGTCGACATTCGCCGAATCCTCGATATCGCCTTCTCGAGTGGAACCTCAATATCACCGACGGATTTTGGGGGAAGGAGCAGCACCACGGCATGTAGAGACTTGAAAACGATGACGGGTTGTTCTTTGGACTTGGCAAAAAGTGCATTTGCTTTTGTATGCATGGGTGGCGTGTGATACCAAAATGTTGACAGTTTACGATATGTTAATTAAATATAGACCCTACCAGGCCCTTATGATTGTCCGGGCTACAGAGTCTTCTCAATGAAAATTGGATGTCAATGTTGCAATCTAGTGGACTACAAGTTGTTCATCACTTTCCAAGCTCTGCTTTTATGGAGGGCTAGCTCCATGAGCTTCTGATTTCTCAGACCTTGGAACCATCATTTTGATGATAAGTATGCAAGCCACAGAGAGGAATAAATCAAAAGATTTGAATCCAGATGCCTCGTAAACTATAGGCTGCGTTAGTGTTGGTAGATGTCTTGTCTTGGCATTCCGATCCAACCGCATCTCCGACCTCTCTCAATCTCATCTTGTAATGGTACTTCACCAGCTTCTTGATGTATCAAATTGAGGCTGAAAAATTTCCAGTCAATTCGATATGTATGCGCCTGGGCATGGCCACGAGTCATTAAGACAGGCAATTCCCGCATCGCGAGATCATAACCCGCGGAAACGCGGGAGGACCCGCATGCACTCGCTGCAAGACACGGAAGCAGAAGGTGATATCCAGTCAGGACCATAGTTAAAAATATCTTGACTAACATGTATCCAGTGCGACAATGAGTATCCGACTTGTTCCAACTGCCTGAAGGCGGGAGTCCCGTGCGACAAGTCCAGCGTCCGGGAGGACCAAGACCGCCAGAATGAGTAAAGTTCACATACATGAAGTAGCCGGAAAATGCTAACTTGGATGTTAGGTACACACGTGGCTTAGAGGAACGTGTAATGTTCCTTGAGCGTAAACTTGCTGAGTCCGATCGATCATCAGACCACAATACTACCGCCACAAATACTGCGTCTTCACTGTTCTCCCCACAAGGTGGCCAAACAACACCGCACACCACTACCTCGGGACTTGACAATAATCCTGTTGGAGAGATTGTGGGCCTTCTTGCTTTGAGTGCCTCTGAGGCCCCTGCATACGTAGGATCTAGTTCTGGTCTTTCTCTCGCTGTCGACCTAGGAGAGATGGTCCAAACGAGTGCATGGAATCAATTCATCTCAAATGTGCAACAAAAGACCAGAAGTGCCACCAATAACTCTCAACACAAGGCACGCCAAGTTCATGGGCCTTCGGAGCAACCTAGCGCCACTCGAATTCGAGATCCGCCAACGAGGATGGAAGATCTTTTGCCGGCAAATGTTGAGCCTCCAACCGATGAGATGGGAACAAGAATCCTCGAAACGTATTTCACTCGACTTCATTCTCGATATCCATTCATTAATCGGAAACAAGTATGGCAGCTCCATGCAGATCGATGGCGCCTAGCGAAGATCAAGCGTGAGGACCTTGCTCGATCTGATCGATTTGCCATCTTTAAACTAAACCTGGTCTACGCAATCGGCGCAACGATGCTTCGACTGACTGAAAAATATGCGTACACGAGTCCTGAGGTAAGTACGATTTCAGAATATCAGATTAGCCGACGCTTACGAGTTTTAGCGATTCTACGCTGCCGCCTTGCAGCATGTTCCCACAATGTGTGAAGCACGATCTGTTGACAACATCGAGGCCATGGTTCTTCTCGTTGTGTATCATCTCCGAACCGCATCCGGTCATGGCATGTGGTACATGATTGGACTTGCTATGCGTATTGCTATCGATCTAGGTCTTCACCGAAAGGCAAATGAGATCAACATGGATCCATTTACCAGCCAAATGAGACGAAGACTATTTTGGACTGTGTACTATTTGGAGCGAGTGCTATCAATGTCCCTTGGTCGCCCGTTCAGTATATCCGATCGTCACATTGATCTCGACCTCCCGCTAGATGTGGACGATGACATTGAAGACCCCACACTGCTCACAGCACCCCTAGATCCCAACAAAACCACAACCTTGACATTCGCAATCTACCTCTTCAAACTCCGTCGCATCGACTCCCGCATCCAACACAAAATCTACCGTGCAGACCGGCCCCTCTCTTCCCTCCGACCAAAAATGGACCCTTTGTATCTTGAACTGGAACAATGGAAAGAATCCGCCGTATTGCGTTTCAGCGGCCCCGATCTCGACTACCCAATGCTGCACTTCAACCGAGCAGTCCGACTCCTAATCCAGCCCTTTCTCCCGCTCCTTCCAATCACAGACCCATACTACCAAATCTGCATCCTGGCCGCAGGAAACATATGCCAATCCCACAAACGCCTGCACCAGACCCTAGAATATGGCCACTCCTTCCTAGCCGTGCAAACGGTCTTCATGGCGGGGATCACCCTGCTCTACGCGCTATGGACACACACAGACCAAGTCTGGTCCGTCCGAATGAGCAACGACATCCGCGCATGCTCCACAAATCTCTTTGTAATGGGCGAGCGCGCAGCATGGGTCAAGACGTACCGTGATGCATTCGAGCTGCTAGTCAACGCCGCCATGGAGAAACTACAGGGCAATGAGACTGCCCGCAACGCCGGGATGGCAGAGTTGATGACAGCACAGTATGGAATCAACTGGAATTCTGCCACTGCCCCCGGAGTGTCCGGTAGTGATAAGTTTCTACCGGTCAACCCGACGAAAATGGCTCCTTATGCTGCGGGTACTACGCCTCACCTGCAGGGCTGTCCGGATGATGATTCTGATAATGCTGTTAGAATGGCGTTGCAGCTGGCGCCGTGGATTGACCAGGATGAAAATGATCCACTGTGGGTGCCGGACTTTGAGACTTTGGAGAGTCTGTCTGGGACTTTTTGGAGTCATGGTGATACGAGACTTTTTGATCCTTTGTGATGTCTTTTTTGTCTGTTTTTTTTTGTTGTCTATACATGCGAGAGATGGAAAATAATACCTTTTGATCGTGATGAAATATTGAAGACCCCATTTCCCAAGATTGCCTTGTCTCCCTTTGTCTCAAATCCAAAATCAAGTTCTGTTGCACATCGATGTTGGCATTCCACACTGAAGCCTGATATCCGAATATCTTCTGAAATTCAAAGCCTAATCCCCGCTACAACCCCTGATGGAAAACGAAAATCAGACGATTCAAATGGACCATACTACCCTTTGATACCATTGCCCTTGGCAAGCTGACAACCCTCAACCAATCTCCCCAGAACAATGGCCCAGCGAAAAGGTCACCAATTGGGGTCAGATCCCAACTTCGGTTATCACGGCTACTCTAGCCCTATCGGCACCTGGACAGAGGAATGACTCGTGTAGGACCTGATGCGGAACGTGGCAAGTATTTGGAACACCATGTATATTTGCTTCAACGTTCCCGAAATGCCATCCTCGCCATCTTTCTTCCTCCTCAACGAGCCAAGGCCATATCCTCTCTTCGGATGATACCGTATGCACCCAACGGCCAAGCTGCATTGCAGCCAGAGCTCTGTCTACGCAGAAAAGAAAACGTGTACAAAAGCCAGGGCAGACATTGTGCCACTGTCGATCGGAACAGGAGAAGAGAGCTTGTTAAAGAGCTATACAAAGAACTCTGGGGGTAGTGTGCCAGGGCTTGAGAAACAAGAATCCACAAGGAAGCATGTTTTGGAGGAGGCTGCATGTCTTATTCAAAGCTTGGTCCAGGGGAACGATGCACTTCACCAACAATTGGGGCAGTGGAAGGTATGGGAGAAGTGGAGACAGTTGCGATTATTTCCGATCAAGGAAGAACTGGATTGCTAGTCCTGGCACTATTTGCACTTAGGAGAACTTCACAATGGCATGTGGTCTACAATCATGTCAGATCTACGCATCTAATACCGCACGGAAGCGACTGATATCGACAGAGCCCTGTCCTAGGGGGATGACCAACATGATATTCTGAAGACAACTGGCAGCATCCATGGAATGCAGATTCAATGGCATTGTTTCTAGCTAGGAGAGAGAGAATGAGAGGCATGGGGATGTGTGTGTGTGTGTATTAGAGATGTCCTAGAGAAAAATAACTTGACGCTGCCACTTTCCCCTACGAGGCCATGTCCAGTCCTTAATGAGAGACTTTGCACCCATCATCTTTTGGGTTCAGAATTCTTCATTTCAGGTGTGCAATCTCCGTAAGTGCTCGTCGCTTAAGCTTGACTTGCAGTCAAATTATCTGAAAGAGGAAGAAATACCTCCCAGTCATACTCTTCCATTCTCTGACCCGAAAATTATCACCCTAAAACAATGCAAGTACTAATCAAACCCCAAATCTACCAAGGCACAATGACAATCCCCTTTCCCTAACTTCTACATCTACATATTATAATTTAACAAACTAGTCCGTAGATTAGCTATCCAGCCCTCGAAAACAGAGAAGAAGAGATCTACACTCTCAGCCCCAGCCTAGAAAGATGCAACGGCAAGAAGCGCGTATACTATACCACAGCTACCTTATTTTTAATACCAACTACGCCTCCTTACCAACCCTCTAGTCCAGCAATAGACACAGGAACCTGGGATTGATAGCCGTAGGTCTTCCAAGACCAATAAGATCGCAAAGCATTATCCTTAATAGTCGCCTCAGCGCTAGTGTATGAGAGATCTAAGCTATAGCTAGAGTACCGTGCTTTGAGTAGGTGTTGGTGCATTTCTTTTATTCCGCGATGAGGGAGCTGTTAGTTTCGCTATCTAAATAATCGCTGTATAGGGCTAGGTTGAAGGGGCTACCTAAGTGGTTTACGTCGACTTGGAAATTTCCTAGTACGGTGTCAGAGTGAATCTAGCTCTGAGGGATATTTTTTTTCTTAGTGTTGGGTGGACTACGGTCATAGCTAGGGCTTAAGGGTTTTGCATTCGCCATCAACGTCTCAATCTCAATCTAGTAGCCTGAGACCTTGCCTATGGAGATCCTTCCCCATCCACCATTCGGCTAAACCAGTCCACAAGGGAACTTGACTTGGTTTGCGAGTGGAGATGGTATGGTGTATATACACTTCACTTCGCATGGGATCAAGACAGTGTACATTATACAGTCTAACGCAATGGACGATGTAGATAGTCAAGTCCGACAGATTCAACACACGCTGATAATGTTGTCCCTCTTCATTCTTACAGCTTCGTTTGGAATTTCGGTTTTTGCTTGGGTGGTTTAGGGTAACCATGATTGCGAGCTCTAAACGTGTTGACTTTTTGTTGAACAATCAGACACCATCAACCCGTGGACAAGTTTAATTGTAGATCAGATGAAGTTTAGTAAGACAATGGGATAGTTGAAAGGTCTAAAAATTGTTCATTCACATGGCAATGGCAGCTAAATGCTAACTATCCCCAAGATCTAACCCCAAAAAGCAAGCCGAAAAACCAAAAAAAAGTGCTGGGTATTCTATCAGGGAAAAAGAAGTTCGTGTCTAACCCGAAAATAGGCAGTGAAGAAGAAGAAGAAGAAGAAGAAGAAGAAAAGAAAGGAACAAAAGTGCGCTCGAAACCAAAAGGGTAAATGTGAAAAGTCAAATGTGACATGCGAGTCCATCACGCAGAGATTCTAAGCGCTGACGGATTAGAACAGATGCTCTTTTTTTGTTGCAAAGTGCAGCATGCAGAACTGAGATCAAGAAATCGATTTCAAGTCTTACAACTTGGCATGCTTGTCTTCAGTCGGGGATCCACTCGCCGTGATGGGAGGGGAGATTGTTCCCAGACTGGAGAGGAGGTGGCCGACCTCACGCTCCAGAGCGCGGACCTCAGTGTGAGGGTCGTACATGCGGCTCTTGATCCAGTTGTTGAGCTCAACATCGCTCATAGAGCGCAGGGAAATCTCGCGGTCAACCTTGTCCTCCTGGGCAGCGCGAATCACCTTGCGGGTGACGACGACACTGACCTCGCGGATGCGGGTGATGTCAGGATAGAGCAAACCACGCTCGAGTTCCTCGCCGGTAAGGGCAGTGGAGAGGGCATCGCCGGAGGCGTAGATCATGCTGTCTGTAACGCGGACGGCCTTGGACAGGATGCTGCCGAGACCGATACCGGGGAAGACGTACATGTTGTTACCCTGGCCGGGGTAGTAAGTGCGGGTCTCGCCGGCGGAATTGGTGAAGGTGAAGTTGGGGAAGGGAGATCCGGAGGCGAAGAGGCAGCGGCCATCGGTGTGGGTGATGGCGGTCTCGAAGTCACACTCGGACTTGGAGGAAGGGTTAGAGAGGGGGAAGATGAGAGGGGCGGTGTTCCAGTCAGCCATCTTGCGCAGGATCTCTGGGGTGAAGACGCCGCCCATAGTGGAGAGACCCATCAGGATGGAGGGCTTGACGTAGTCAATGACCTCTTCGAGGGTCTTGTACTGCTCGGCGTTGTTGTCACGGCGGGCGAAGTAGACCTTGTGGTCAGCGAGCTTGTCGCCGCGGTCAGCGGTGACGAGACCCTTTGTGTCGACGAGGTAGAAGCAGTTGCGGGCTTCATCCTCGGTCATGCCTTCGCGCATGAAGAACTCGACAATCTGGCGAGCAACACCGACACCGGCGCTGCCAGCGCCGAAGAACACCGCGCGGTGGTCCTTGCAGGGCAGACCGGAGCGCTTGACAGCGTTGATGACACCGCCAAGGATGACTGCACCAGTACCCTGAATGTCATCATTGAAGCAGGTGTACGAGTTGCGGTACCGCTCAAGAGCAGGGAAGGGGTTCTTGAAATCCTCAAATTGGATGACGATACTAGAGAAGTTTTGTTAGTCGTTGCTGCAGGGAGATTACCCGAAAGACGTGTGAGAGTGAGTCGCTTACCCAGGCCAGCGGTCGGTAAGAGCAGCCATCAGCTCGTCCAAGAACTCCCGCTCCTCTTCGGGGGAGATCTTCTCGCGACGGCTACCCATGTACAGCGGGTCTTCCCGAAGAGCCTTGTTGTTAGTGCCCAGATCGAGAGTCAGAGGAAGAGTGACCTCGGGACGAATACCCGCACAGGCGGTGTAAAGGGCCAATTTGCCAATGGGGATACCCATGCCGTTGATACCCAGATCACCCAGTCCGAGGATGCGGGAACCATCGGTGATACAGGTGATTTCGACGCTAGACTCGGGCCAATTGGAGATGACCGAAGCCAGGTTTCCGCGATCTTCCCAGCTCAGGTACATACCTAACACGATCGTTAGCGTCTTCGGTTCTAATTCGGGTGCGGAGAAAAAGCCAATGGCGGAGAAGATGATCTCAGCTATTCGTACCTTCGGGCTGTTGGTAGATCTCGGACCACCGTTGGCAGGCCTCGCCCACCACTGGGGTATAGATCAAGGGAGTCATTTCCTGCAGGGATCATTATACGGTCAATTTTTGTTTCTCCCAAGTATCGCAGTCCTATCACGTATCTCGGTGTGCAACGTACCCTGAGGTGGTCTGTCACCAGACGGTAGAACAAGTGCACATTGTTCTTGCGCAGCGTGCTGAGGTAGAGGAATTTATCGATAGGGGTGTTCTTCAGACCCAGCTGAGCCAGGCATCGGGTCTTCTGTGTTTCGTAGCCCTCAGCGCGAGGAGGAGTGAGGCCATACGTGCGCAGGTACTTGCGAATATATGCAGGATTGGCGGTATCATAGTTGGCGTCACTAAAGAAGAGATCTTAGCGACTGCTTTCTCCGTTGCAAGCCTGAGCTAGGTGAGCTGATTATTGACTTACGCAGGCGAAGCGTGGTTCACATAGGGAGCCGGGGTAGCATGCACCGGCCGGCTTTGTTGAGTGGACAGTGGAGGGTATCGAGCCATTGTAATTGACTGAGAAGACTTCAAGTTGGAGGTAGAAGTAGAATGGTAGAAAGAAAAAAAAGGGTAGGGAGCAGATGCGAGTCTGTTTTTATGTACACGAGACAACATACTAAATTTGCCCTGGGAAGTTCGTGCGCACATCAAGGACATTCCGACAGGAGAGTGGTCAGATAATTAACCGGAACCGCGTGTCAAGGCGACACAGAGTCAACAAAAGAGGCATGATTTGGAGTCGGGAAGAGTCGGAGGAGAGGCCATGTGGATTCATTTTTCGGTGTTGACAGCGAACCGTTGCGCATGAAAGCCTTTCTGGATTCTGGATCCCTCCAAAAGCTTCTTTTTTTATTTCTTTTTTTATTTCTGGAAGATTTTTTTTGTTCGGGAAGTAGATCCAGCAAGGATGGTATCGCCGTGTGGAGACGGGGAGGCGCCGACTCCGACCAAAGTGGAGACATAGCACAGTCAGGGTTGTAAATGGAAAAAAAAAAAAGAGTATCATCCAATTTGAATGAGACACATAATTTCCATGGAAATTGCATGGGATGATTGCGGGATTTTTTAGTTTTCATTCCAGCACTGCGTAGGGAGCTGCCCTATTTGTACCACATTTATTGGGAAGAAGTGGACAATTGGGAAATTGGAAAATTGGGAAATTGGAAAAATTGGAGCATCTCGGAGTTAGAAATTTACAGTTTACACCATTTTGCACGGTAGACCTTGAACTGGTGATGACAGCCAAGTAGAATTGTGCATAAAGAACATACTGTAATCTGATTGGCTACAAAAGCCGGGGTGGAAAACACCTTCGGTTGACGCTAGTCCTTCTTGGGTCTAAGACTCCACCAAGTCCACAGCTACGAGCTCCCAGAGCCGCAGACAGTGCCGAAGTGGAGTGAAGCTATCTAATTATGTCGATTCGGTGTTTCCATTTTAGAATCTTCCTTTTTTTTTTCAATTTTTATTTGGACTTCAGATTCTTCACAAGGCGGATGGAAAAGAGATTGAAAAAAAAATTCAAGGATAAATCGGAGTTCGGCGACGGAGACTGCCCGCTCCTAAAACATCTCATGTTGCTACAACATACGAGTTATACAAATGTACCTATAGATAGGAAAATTATATCAAGACCTCTCCCGATCGGAAGCTCACCGGTGAGACTTTTAGGCCTTCGTTTCGAGTCCGCCGCGTTGGCGATGATATTCGGCCTTGTGAATGGCTCTCGGTCGCCGACACAGGGGGCTTTGATTACTCATGTTCTCCAGCACGGTTGCGTTATTTTTCTTCCCCCCCCCCTTCAATTCTATTCTTTCAATCATCAGGTCTGGAACCTCCACTCAGCTTTGTCGGAAGACACAATTCGGGAATCCAGGGATTTCATATCTCGTCACTGATTGGACCGCTTGTCCGGGTAACCTGGCAGCTCTGTGTAAGGCTTTAAGCTTCTATTAATAATCCTCACTCCTATACAACAGACTCTGCTCTATCTACTGCGTACATATTGGATGCAATTCTCCGACCTCGTCAGGGCTTTTCCTCACTTGTAGTTCCTAACGTTGGGGCAGGGCTTGGTAAGGGGGGTTTTTTTTTTTTTTCTCGCGTGGATGTACGGAACACATCGTAGAATGTGAGTGAGCTCATGCATCGGACATATCATGTCATTCTCGATTACGAAGCTCTGTACTCCGTACCCAGTACGGAGTACACATGAGGCATATATGTACATTTTTGGCTTTGGGTCTCCTTTCTACCGCAGATCAGGGTCTCCCTATCAATAATTACACAATTCAAGAGCGCAGAGTGGATAAATTGAGAAGCAAATGAAGCAAACATCGAAATGGGCCCGATTTAAGTGAAGGAAAATGGCCCGGCTAAATCCATAGCTTTCCCCAGATCGCGGCTCATCGAGTCTTTACATAATACGTAGTTTCAAGTACTTCATCCAAGAGCTTCTTGACTCTTGAAAATCTCTCAAATGAGAACTGGATTCAAGAAATCTTCTGGGTCCAATGTACTTAGACAATATAGCAAGAGCAAACATTTACGTCGCACTGTACGAATGATGTGTCGTCATATGCCCAAAACAGGTTCCCGAGCTGGACTCCTCCCCTACGTAGAACGTCAACCTTCATTGAGCTTTATCGTCCAACATTACTGTTATTCTCACACGGTCCAGGGCTTGTTCCATCATGCCTTCCGAGACCGAACCTCTCCTCCCTCGCTACGAGGATGACACCTCCCGTCAGCGACAACTCCATCAAAAGCTACACAGCTACCAGATGATCCGCGCCATCTCCGAGGGATACATGCCAACTACTGAACAAACCATTGCCAACCTTCGCACTCTCCTAGCTTCCGACATCCTCAACCTGCGTAATCAGGACATCGGCCGCGTCGGTCGCCAGCTAGTACGGGATAGTCGACTGTGGATCCTGGTCTTTATCGAATTTCTGCAACAGAAGAACAGCCAAGACCAGCTCCAGGAATTTCTGTGGCGCCTGGCCCGTTCACGCGTCGAGGTGGATAGCGAGAGGGTTTCGAGACAGGCCGCTCACGTGAAGGCGCGGGCAGACACTAAGGCTGGTGGGTCGCGCATTTCCACTCCCCAGCTTACGGGCTTGGCACATGTTAATCACAAGTTGATGACCGTTCGCTAACCCCTGCAAGTAGCGTATGACAGCTTTCGCACCGTCGGTGGTCTTCTTCTGACCAATGCTGATTTCCGTCTTTTTGTCGATGACATCGTTACCGTTGGCCGCCAGATCTTCGCTGATACCGCTGAATCCCTCGCGGAAGCTTCCAAGCGAGTTGCGGAACAAATCAAACCGTCCGAGGAAGAAGAACGGGCGCTGCAGGGTCCCGGTGCTGATGACGGGCATGCGCTATCGAAGGCAGAGGTGAACGAGGAAATTGCAAATGTTGCTGATGTGGCCGAGGAAGGGATCGCTCAGACCAGTCATGATGCCGTACAGAGCGCTAAGGAGCACCTGTCGGGCCGAGAGAGAGATACCTTGCTGTTCCGACTAAAGCAGGCAGTTCTGAAGCTCCGGGAGAGAACGGATTACTCTGACTCCGTGGCAACACTTGCTCAGTTGGTAGCACGCTATGCTAAGATCTACGCGGATGTAGCAGAGAACACTGCCTCGGTCGTGCAAGAAGACCTGGAGATCAATGATGACCTCAAGCGGGCGGTCGACGTATTCTGGATTCTTTTACGGTCATTCGGTAGCGCAGAAGAGTGGGATCGGCTGCAGGAGAAGTTTCACAACGTATTGCGCCATGCAAACAAAGATCCCGAGTTTGATAATCTACTCGGAGAAGTCGGAATTTCCTTGCAGGACATGTTCACCAACCCCAAGTTCTTCGACTCAGCACCGCAGAAGCTGGATGAACTCAAACAACACTCCGGCAAAGTGAGCTCAGAGACGAGTCTTCGAAAGGATGTGGATGATTTCCTAGCACAGACCAAACGCACACTTAGAACTGTGCCGGAAGACCCAGCTGTCTCCAAGTTAATCAAGGCCACTAAGAAGGTCTACCAGGGCGCCTGGGGTGCCTACAACGACAAAAAGGCCGACCTCCCCGCAGACTTGGTGAACGTCTTTTTCCCAGTGCTCCTCCGAGCAATCCAATACATCCCAATCCCCCGCCTGGAGATATCTGCTCCAGAACTGGACCTTCTGCTCGAGAACCTAATCCTTGAACCAGGCCACACAGTAAATTTCTCCTCCTTCCTCCCCTACCGCATGCATCTCCTGACACGCAATGACATCGACGTGATAAAAACCCACGCCAAGCGCACAGAAACACTCATGAAAACTGCCTTTACAATCACCGTCCAAGGCTTCAACATCAGCGCCGAAGACTTCGGCTACTGGTTCCGCACGCACGCAGGCTTCTTCCACCTAAAGGACGAAGGCATAGCAAGCTTCTACCTCGACCGCCGCGGTATCGACATCTCCCTAGACATCGAAGTCGGCCGCGGCAGCCTGGAACAGATCTTCTCTTTGCGCGGCGTTCGCGTCTGCATCCACAAACTCGACTACACCGTCAAGCGTAGCAAGTGGAGATTCCTTCTATGGCTGACCAAGCCATTCTTGAAACATCTTGTCCGACGCGTGCTGGAGAAGAAGATCGCAGAGGAGATTGTTGCAGCTACGTTCGCGCTCAATCGCGAGCTCGTCTTTGCCCGTGAACGACTGCGTGCTGCGCGCATCGCTAACCCACAGGACCTGGCGACTTTTGTGCGGGCTGTCCTCGCCCGCCTTAGACCTGCTGACTCGGATGTTGAGACTAGGATTGGGTTTGAGCCGCTGAAGAAGGGTGTCTTTCAAGGTGTTTATGCTCCCGGCAGTATTGTGAAGACCTGGCATGAGGAGGCCACGCGCGCGCAGGAGGCTATTGAGGATGGGGATGAGACACGTGGGCTTGGTCAAACCTGGCACAATGATATCTTTAATGTTGCCGGGCAACACTGATCGCATTTCTTATCCGACTTGGGGATTTGAAGGAGCTGCTTTACTTTGTTAGCAGCGTTTGCAATGATTTTATGATGAATCTGACTGGATGTCTGCCTTGATGGCTTATGTTTCCGTTTCAATGCTCGCTTTTTGCTTCTTTTTGATCACGGAACAATCTCACATGTTAACGATTTCTAGTCGAGCAAAATTTGTAACGCTGGGGAAGTAGACCGTATACTATCAAATGTCTTCTACCCAGTTAGGTAGCGACCCCCTTTTTGGAGTCCCTTCAGCAAAGTCTCCAGTCCTTCGGATTGTAGCAAGGTGATGTTTGCTGGTTGCTTAGGCAGCGTCTATCAGATCTCTTCTTGCTCCTTGTCATGGGGCTTGTTCTTTGTCTCTGTGAAGCTAGCTATAAAGAGATAGTCCCATGGCAGCGAAGGTTCCTGATCTTTGGAAGTCTACCAACCACTCCTTTCTCACTCAAAGGTGCTACGTGTGTGACTTCAAACTGACCTGGGGGTTCATCAGTAGACCACTTCATCTGCAACATTTCCTGCTTTGCCCCCACCCCGAGGAACCTCGAGAACTTTTAATCGAGATTCTAGATTAAAACATTGATTTTCACTCAAATCGGTCGTGATGAGCAGTTACGCCTTGTTTTGAGGTTACTGCATGCGTCTGACCTTGTTTAGTTCACATCAGGGAACTGATAGTTTGGTCTATGTCTGACATTGATGATAGGAAAACATCCGGTGTTTCTGCCATGTTATATGGTCTTTCCTTTTGAAGATGACCAACACACAGATAAAGATGGCACTCCAGCTCCTCCAGACATCGATGTATATATTTGTGGAGTTGAACGACACAGCAGGCAATGTTGCCACACAACGCTGCTCCCAAAGGAGTGAATCTCTCCTGAAATAAAGAATCTGATTGAAGGCACTTATTCTAAATTGCAGTCTACTTTTCTAAACTCCATGCTCATCGTTCACTGCTTATTTTCCAGGCACAAAGGAGACAGCACGTGATCGGCCAAATATTGTTCCTCTTTTAGGCCACCTAATGTAGATCTAGCCCATGAAGCCGCGGAGCCAACACCTCCAATCTTCAATTCTTTACTCTCCTTTACTCTCTGGCATAAAACTCGGCGGAGGAGGACACTTGTGCCACTAGCGATTGAATCCTTCATGTCTAATATCTAAGCATCACAACAAACTCACCATAACCTCAGCTTGTCGAAGCTTCACCTACCTACACACCTCAGTCTACACAAACACATAAGTTCTCCATACCACATCTCTTCGAGCGCACGAGCAGCTGCTCGCGCAGCTCCGCACTGTTGAAATGCAATTATTACGATTCTTGGTCGCGCTAGCCGTGGTGTTATTCTCCGTCGTTGTAATTGCCGCCGAGGATTACTACAAGGTGCTTGGTATAGCGAAGTCCGCGTCAGAGAAGGACATCAAGCGCGCGTACAGAACACTAAGCAAGAAATACCACCCTGACAAGAATCCGTGAGTGCAGCTATTACCCTTTTTAATTTCTTTTTCTCCATGCCTTTTTTTTTCATTTTTGTGCCCCCCCCCCATATGCTCCACATTCTGCCCGCACAGCGCAATCGCTAACCCATCTCTCAGCGGCGATGACTCGGCACGCGAGAAATTCGTCGAAATAGCAGACGCCTACGACGTCCTCTCGAGTAGTACGCTGCGCAAAGTATACGACCAATATGGCCACGACGGGGTGGAGCAGCACCGCAAAGGCGAAGCAGCTGGCGGTGGCCACGACCCATTCGACTTGTTCTCACGATTCTTTGGCGGGGGTGGACACTCCGGGCATGCGCCTGGACACCGTCGCGGACCGGATATGGAAGTGCGGGCTGCGCTGCCGCTACGCGATTTCTACAATGGGCGCGAGATCAACTTCCTCGTTGAGAAGCAGCAGATTTGTGATTCATGTGAGGGAACGGGATCCAAGGATCGAGAGGTTGTGACTTGTGATCGGTGCGCTGGACGTGGTGTGGTCATTCAGAAACACATGCTTGCGCCGGGGATGTTCCAGCAGGTGCAGATGCAATGCGATAAGTGTCATGGACAGGGGAAGATGATTAAGAATCCTTGTCCTATCTGTGGGGGGAACCGGGTTGTTCGGAATCAGGTGGAGACCAGTGCTAGTATTGAGCCTGGGATGGGCAAGGGGACTAGGCTTGTTTTTGAGAATGAGGCCGATGAGAGCCCAGACTGGATTGCTGGGGATTTGATTGTTGTTTTGGATGAAACGGCGCCTGCGCTTGGGGTGGAGGAGGAAGAGAAGACGGATGGGACGTTCTTCCGACGGAAGGGGAAGGATCTTTTCTGGAAGGAAACTCTTTCGCTGCGCGAGGCGTGGATGGGGGGTTGGAGTCGCAATCTAACGCATCTTGACGGACATGTCGTTCGTCTTGGACGTGGACGTGGTGAGGTTGTGCAACCATGGGCCGTTGAGACGATTGCTGGGGAGGGTATGCCCCACTACTCCGAGGGTCATTTACATGACCACCATGATGAGAATGATGAAGCGGGCAATTTGTTTGTTGAGTATACTGTTATCCTGCCGGATCAGATGGAGAGCGGGATGGAGAAGGACTTCCATGCTCTTTGGGAGAAGTGGCGCAAGAAGGTTGGAGTTGATTTGGCGAAGGATTCGGGGCGACCGGTTGTGCCTCCGCCGGCGGAGGATAAGGATGAGTTGTGATGATTGCCTTTCACGGGGTTTAATACTTTTTTTTTTTTTTAAAAAAAAGAGATCCCCTGTTCTTTTTCAGGGTCGATGTACATTGGATTGCATCTGTCGATTTGCGTGCATTCTAAGACTACGGGCTGGGGTTAGTTTAGACTCTTGGCTTGTGTTGAAATGCCATACGATTGAATCATTTGAATCCTACACGATAGCCTCCTTTTCTCAATTAGAAGATATATTGAATTGAAGACAGTCTACTTAGTCCCATGGTAATCACGTCTGAATTTTGTGCATACATGACTTAATGTCAAGTCAGAGCCCCTCTACAGAATTCTCTGTACCCTCGTTCAGGCTTTCATTGACACACGTGGGACGACCGGGATTTACTGCCCCTGCTATCATCCTGTCCGATGCAGATCGACGGTCGGAAAGATCGGCCCAGGATTGAAATTCTGTACCCAATATATGAAACTCTGAATTCTGATTCTACCGAAATTGTCGCACACTGTTTGGTCACAATGCGTCCACCTCACCTAAGGGGGTTTGTGGCGCAGGACGTAAACAAAGAAAGACCGGGTGCACGGCGCATAGATCTATGGGAATGGTCTAACTGGAATCGGCCTATCAGGGCAGGGGGGATAGGGTCAGGGGTACAGGACAGGGGTTGGATGTAGTGGCGAATAAGGCTGGTCTGTTTTCAACTACAGAGTACACATAACCCACTTCTTGACCGTCATTTCATGTTCATGTATGTGACTGATATCAAGGGGTCGGATTTTCGTTTGACGGTTCAGCGAGAGGATCTCTTTCCATGTGCAAACCCATCTAGCAGCATTCCCTTTGCGGATACGGGACCCTGTTTGGATTCTGTAGAATTGGGGGAAGGGTGGATCGTATGTATCGCAATCGGAGTTGGTTCATTCTACGATAGTGTGTGGTTAACTGTTTTTATTGGGACCTTGTCTGATCCTCCTATGTATTGTTGCTTTTGGAAAGAACTCCAAGAGTTACCAACCACTGGATCTAGGGTAGGATAGAAGCAGAAACACAGCTCATTCTCTCACCGACACAATCCTTAGAAATTTCCCACATAGACTGGGGATGGGAATCAAATGCGATCAAGTCAAAGTTGAAACTAAACATTTCGCCGGAAACACCATCTCACACAATTACGAAGGACAAGAATATTCCCTAAAAATCAGTTACAACCTCCGGAGGCTGAGCCTATCAGATAGCCCTACCACCTTGCAGTATAGGCAAAGATGGAAACAGCCACTACGGAGTACACACCGTACGAACTACTCGAGGATTGACAAGCCTCATAGATGTTGGTAGGAAACTAGAGTAGACTTCTATATAGACTTCCTACCGTCTAACAGGGGCATCTTTCCGATCAATGATTTGCCGGCATCTTGGTGCGTCCATGTATACCTCGTATCCCCGTTGTTGTCTGCGTGTACACCGTGCACTGCCCGTAACTTTGAGTAAGCCCACGATGTGAACCATGGACAGAGCAAAGTAGACTGATTAGAAAAAAAAAACCAAAAAAAACCAGCCAATGTAGGCCGTCCACGTTGAGACAACCCGCGTCTAGATGCGGCTACGAACAGACTTTTGGGGGCAAGCTAAGAGTACGCGGATCCGGTATTTAAGCCGGAAAGACGCTAGTTGCCTTGCGGGGCGATAAGTGTCCCGGTACGCTAAGAATTGCGAGAGTGCATAAATAGAAGTACCATTGAACCTGTGGTCGGAGTGGATGGGTTAACTACCTCGATAGATTGATGGATGTTGTAGCATCTCTTTTTGGTGGGGCGGCATGGAGTTTGGTTGTCAAAGAAGTCCCCGTAAACTTCTTTGATGCACAATGCAAAGCCGTGGAATTCTTTTCTCATGGGATGATGTTCTTTGTATACGCCGCTTGAAGTTATCTCTTTCCCTAACCAGTAAAGACCCGCGAGCTGAGGGGATTCAAACAGACCGACCGACTAGAGCGGATTGCGGTGTAGGATTGTGGCGGCTTGGATGATTTAGTATGATCAATTGATTTATCACTATGCTTTCATGTTTAGTTCCTTGATAGTTTTCAGGTTTCCAGGGTTTTTTAATTTTTTTGTACTAGCGGGGTGGTTATAGCTGTCAACGTAAATCAGATTCATCAATTTTTTGCCTCTCTGGCGGTTCTGTTCACAACAAACTATACACCTTGGAAAAGGGAAAGCGGCTCTACTACACCATTGGACTCTACTATTTTGATCAGCCCATGTTAAGCTAGGGCCGTCATATGCAGATATACCGGGAAACTAAGACGGCTGTTAGATTTAATATCTCACAGAAGTTTCTAGGGTAAACAGAAACGTGGAAAGCTCACATCGGCATAGCCCTGATGTCAGGGAAACCAATCAGCACCACAGATATAACATGGCAAAAAAAAAAACCAAAAATACACCCACTCAAAAGCCGAATTTGACAGCGCTCGGCAAACGTTCGGCTGTAGGCTCTACTAACGGTCCTGCACCTCCCCGCATGCCCGGCGTCTCGGATTCGATACCCTTGCATCCGGCCTGTAGGTTTGGTATGGATGGAGCCATACATAGAGAGTAGATGTGGCCATTGAAATCTGAGAATATCCAGAGCCGCTTATGATTGGAATGGGAAAAACTCATAGCATCCCCAAATTCCTCTTTCTTTGTTTGTTTGGGAGGATCCTCGTGTGATAATAGCTCCACTTGAAAGATTTAGTGCGTGGATACTTGACTTTTTTCCAAGATACATCCATGCGTAGGCCAATAATGCTCATAGACTGTATCGGATTGCTGTTCTTCGTGGACAGGAGGTACAGAGTACAGGAATAACAACCCTAGAAGCCTTAGATGTCCCGATATCAACGAGCCTGCTATCCACTTTTTTTTTTTAAAATGAAAGCATCCAAAATAGGAAACTCGTGAATATCAGTAAAAATGCTTGTGCCCATCGGTCAGCCTGCCAGTCTCGGGTTCTCAACGGTGCTTTTAGCTTTTTGTTCCCCCTTAGTCCCCCCATGCTTCTTCTACTAACATGGTCCACGTCGAAATTGATATATAGAAGGGGGGGGGAGGGGTGCGCAGTAGTGTTTGCTATCATCATCCTCAATTATCTTATATGATCACTCTATCAACAGTCATCTCAATCTTTATCTCCTTCAGTTTCCAGCTTTTTTTGGCCTGCTCCTTCATACCCCCCCTCTCTTCATACCCTGCGTATCATTTCTCCTTCTTCACATCCTTAACATCTCGTCTAGATCCAGACCTATTGACAGATCAACACAGCGAAAGATGCGTCCCCTCTCGCTGAAAAGTAGTACCAGTGGCGATAGAGTCATACCCTCGGATGCCTTGGAACCTATCGCGATAGTTGGCATAGCTACTCACTTTCCGCAGCAAGCAACGACCACTGAGAGTCTGTGGGAGCTTCTACTACAGACCCGCTCGACGTGGTCGTCAATACCCAAAGAACGCTTCAACTCTGATGCCTTCTATCATCCAGATCCCGAGCATGGTGGAACAGTAAGTCATATTCGAACCATGACAGACCAGGATGGCCATGAAAATCACCTTTTGAACTGATGTCTGTGTAAAGTTTCATGTCAAAGGAGGTCACTACCTCGCAGAAGACCCTGCCTGCTTCGATGGCTCCTTCTTCAATGTCACCAAGAATGAGCTCTTGACATTGGATCCGCAGCAGCGGCTGGTACTGGAAAACGTCTACCATGCCTTGGAAAATGCAGGAATTCCATTGACCAGTGCTGTTGGCTCCAACACATCGGTTTTTGTCAGTGGGTTCAATCATGACTATCTTGGCATCCTCAACTCAGACCCAGAGACCACTTTAAAATACAAGCCCACCGGTGTTACAAATGCCATACTGTCTAACCGGGTCAGCTGGTTCTTTGACTTCAAAGGACCTAGCATGACCATCGACACGGCCTGTTCTAGCAGCTTGGTGGCGCTGCATCTTGCTGTACAGAGCTTGCGTGCCAGAGAGACGAGCATGGTACGTTGTCCGGGTTGAATGTTAAAATTGATCCGCTCATGCTAACATGCTGAGAATTGTGAAGGCTATCGTTAGTGGAGTGAGCGTTCTTGAAAATCCCGTGGAAACTATCGGGATGAGCCACCATGGTTTGCTGGGAGCTCAAGGGCGGTCTTTCAGCTTTGACGCCCGCGCTGAAGGCTATGCTCGAGGCGAAGGCGTGGGCACAGTTGTAGTGAAGCCTTTAAGTGCTGCTATCAGAGATGGCGATACGATTCGCGCGGTTATTCGGGAGACCGGAGTCAACCAGGATGGCCGCACGCCAGGTATTACGGTTCCCAGCGCCGATGCTCAAGAACGATTAATCCGCGAGGTCTACGGGAGAGCCGGCTTGGATCTTGAACACACAAGATTTGTGGAAGCCCATGGCACAGGAACGAGCACCGGTGACCCCATTGAAGCGGGTGCTCTCGCGAGAGCATTCAAATGTCGCCGAGAGACTCCGCTGTACGTCGGGGCCATCAAGTCTTCCATTGGACATTTGGAAGGTGGCTCAGGTGTGGCAAGTATTATCAAATCGATCCTTACCCTAGAGTCTGGGATCATACCTGCAAACTTTGAGATGAAGGAGACAAATCTGTCCATTCCCGCAGCGGACTGGAACATTGCATTCCCCGTGGAGGCTCTTCCGTGGCCATCGCCAGGGCCGCGAAGAGTGTCAGTCAATTCATTTGGCATTGGTGGCACTAATGCTCACTGCATCCTTGATGACGCTTACCACTTTCTCAATGATCGTCGTCTCACAGGTGCCCACCGCACCACATCTACTGTTCCCACAACCCAGAAAATTAAGAGCCGGCTCTTGGCTCTGTCCCGGTCAGATAATGAATCAACTGATGTTGTGGCGGATTCATTCGATGACAGCGACCACTCTGGACAAGGGAACACATTTGCGGACACACCCACGAGCGATGGCTTTTGTGCATCGCCCACATTCACATCCTCGACATACAACAGCTTTGTCGAAAAGCCCAAGGTGTTCTTGCTCTCGGCGTTCGATGAAGATGGCGTCAAGCGGAACGCAGCTGAATTCGCCAAGTACTTGAACCGGAGAACGACGCAGTCGATTCTCCATGATCATCTCCTTGATGATCTCTCATTCACCCTGTCGAAGAAACGATCACAATTTCCCTGGAAGAGTTTTGTCATGGCATCCACGGTCAAAGAACTTGCATGGAACCTGTCAGAATCAAATTTTGCAAAGCCAACCAGAACTGCCAGAGTGCCAGAGGTTGAATTTGTTTTCACTGGCCAGGGAGCTCAATACCAGGCCATGGGCCGAGGCCTCATGATATACCCCGTTTTTCAGGAGTCTGTGGAGGAAGCATCGGAATATGTCCGCCGGCTCGGTAGTCCGTGGTCCCTACTTGGTAATGACTTGCTTTGCCTGCTTTTTCTGAATGTGCTCGACTAACGTATCATAGATGAACTCTTGACTGAAACACAGACACCTAGAGTCAACTTGCCTGAGATCGCTCATCCATTGTGCACAGTCTTGCAAATTGCGCTCGTAGATCTCTTGGCTAGTTGGGAAATCTTTCCAAAACGTGTAACTGGTCACTCATCCGGCGAGATAGCTGCCGCTTACTGCTCGGGCAAACTGTCTCGCGAAGGCGCCTGGAAGGTTGCATACTATCGTGGGTGCGTATCATCTAAGCAGCTTTCTGCAAATGGAGCGATGATGGCCGTGGGTCTGGGTGCATCACAACTGCAGCCCTATCTAGACTCCGTGAAACAGGATAACACCGGAGAGATTATCATCGCCTGCCGCAACAGTCCCAAGAATAACACTGTGTCTGGAGACGACGCTCTGATTGACTCCCTCAAGTTTCTTCTTGATGCCGATAACATCTTTGCTCGAAAGTTGAACGTCAAAAATGCTTATCACTCAGCCCACATGCATGCGATTGCCCAGGATTATCTTCATCTAATGGGCACACTTCCTCATGGAAGGAGGCTTGCAGCTCCCCACCAAGTGCAGATGTTCTCCACAGTCACAGGAAAGCAAGTCAAAGAAGAAATTTTGCCTGCTCAATACTGGGTGGATAACATGGTCTCTCCTGTTCTTTTCAAAAGTGGTTTGGTTGCAATGACCTCAAGACCAACTTACAGCAATGGTTCGACGGACTCCACGGATGGAGTGCGTCTCATTGTGGAAATAGGACCTCACTCAACTCTGCAGAGTGCCATTAAAGAGACACTAGCTTCTGAGAGCCCCAAGTTGGAATTCAAGTACCTGGCCGTTCTAAAACGGACAGATCATAGTCTGAACACTCTACTCACCACAGTTGGCTTTCTAGCTTCAAGTGGATATGAGCTGGATTTTCATGCTGTGAACCAAGCTTCTGGCTCCAAGGTAAAGAGACGGCCCAGACTTTTGGTGGACCTACCACCATACAGCTTCAAGCATACAGAGAAGATTCTATTTGAGAGTCGATTGAGCAAGAACCTTCGAACCCGAAAGTTCCCTCGTCATGACCTTTTTGGTGCACCAATCACCGATTGGAATCCTACTGCTCCCAGATGGAGACATTTTGTCCGATTGAACGAAAACCCCTGGTTAAGGGATCATATGGTTAGTCCATTATCTCCAACATAGCTTCACTCGTTAACAGGATTTAGGTGACTGGTAACTACGTCTACCCTGGCGTGGGCTACCTGGTCATGGCGATTGAAGCATCGAGGCAGCTGGCCGGTGAGACAAAGACCACTGGTTTCCAATTACGCAAAGTCAACATCCGAAGAGCCCTGATTATACCTGACAACAAAGAAGGAATTGAAGTCTCCTTGGCATTGTCAACTGTAGAAGACTCTTCAGCGTCGTCGCGAGTGTGGCGCCGGTTCCAGATAACTTCGTACAATGCCTCAAGCGACGAGTGGACAGAACATTGCACTGGTTACATCACCGTTGACCATGGGGCATTTTCTGACCGAGTGGACAATGGCCGCGAAGCAGAAGAAGAAAGTCGAGCGTGGAGATCAGAACTGATCCGCGCAAATGAGATCTGTGCCAAATCTGTGGCCTTCAAATCCACATACAACAACCTCCAAACATCCGGCCTCAATTTCGGTCCTTTGTTCCGGAATCTTTCAGACGTTCAGGCAAGTGGACGCGGGCTTGGTAAGGTTGTTGGATCAGTGACTGTTCCGGACATTGCACAGTCTATGCCAAAGCAGTATCTACATTCTCATCTCATCCACCCTGCCACAATGGATAGCATGATCCACTTGATGATCGCGGCTGTTCTCGACTTTACCAACAAGTCCACTCTGGATCAGATCAGATTGCCAACTTTCATACGCGATGTCTGGGTTTCAGCAGATCTGAATTCAGCCCCCGCCCACAAATTCACAGGACATGCGACCGTGTCCATGGTGGGTTCTGACAAATTCGAAGGCCAAATCCAGATTCTGGACGAGGGAACAAAAATCCATCGCATTCGCATGGACGGCATCGAGCTCACCCCGCTGGAATCTGGTCTTGCTGAAAATCGGGAGCGAAAACTGTGCAGCACGATTGAATACAAGCCTGATGTCCATTTCCTCGACTCAAAATCGGCCTGTGCACTGACTTCTCTTCTTGAAGCTACCGATGACACCGAAGCTCTGTATTGGGTGAAGCGTCTTCAGCTTGCGACGATGATCTACGTCCTGGATGCACTGGACGAGCTCAAGAACATTGACATGATGAAACTTGATTTGCACATGCGAAGATTCTTCAACTGGATGAAGCATATGAAAGGCTTGCTCGAGCACAATCAGATCATCCATCTGCCTTACTGCGAATTCGAAGAGGCATTTCAAGATGAGGCTTTCAAAGAAGCTATTGGCAAAGAAATTGAGGCTTACAGCGCCGAGGGTGCTATCACAGCCCGAATGGGCCGCAACATTGCGCAGGTATTGCGCCAGGAGACTGATCCGCTACATCTTATGTTTGGTCAAGACGCCGTGATGGAACAAGTGTACAAAGAAGGCCTCCATTTGTATAACTTGCCGCAGCACCTACAGAGCCACTTGTCTCTCCTCCGCCACCAGCACTCCGAGCTGAACATCCTCGAGATCGGTGGCGGCACCGGTAGCTTCACGGCTGAAGTCCTGGCCGTTCTTTCGCCAGGCCCTGCGAAAAGCAAAGGAAAAATTGCCAGCTACACATTCACCGACATTTCGTCCGGCTTTTTCGAGAAGGCAAAACAACGTTTCCAACCCTGGTCTGACATCATGAACTTTCAATCTCTCAACATTGAGCGAAGCCCCGTCGATCAGGGACTTCAGCTGGGGGCATATGACCTGATATTCGCTGGAAATGTCATCCACGCCACTGCAAATCTACAGAACGCACTGCAGAACCTTCGGTCTCTGTTGAAGCCGGGTGGTCAGCTCATCATGCAGGAAGGTATTCGACAGGATTTCCTCTGGTACCCACTTGTTTTCGGTCAGCTTGCTGGATGGTGGCTGGGCGATGAGCCCTGTCGTCAGTGGTGTCCCTACATCCCGGCCACGGAATGGAATTCTCTGCTGTTGAAAGCGGGATTCTCGGGCGTTGATGTCGAGTATCCCAGTTCGAACGATCCAGATTTAACATGGCAGAGTATTCTGATCTCCACTGCCATCGAAACGCCAAAGGGGGAGTCATCAGATACTGCGATCATCTTGACGCTTGGTACATTGAAAGCCGCGCAGGTCATTGAAATCCTTCAAGGGCTTCTGCCAGAACTGGGATACACGACTGTCCTCGTAAAGGAGCCTGCAGAAGTGGAGAATTACATCTTGTCGAATGCGATTTGCATCTCCCTGATTGACTTGGAGTCTCCTTACCTGTTAGAAATGGACAAAGTGGAATACGGCAAACTCAAGAAGGTGCTCAGCGAGTGGCAGAATCTACTGTGGGTGA